CCCCACCATAGACACCTGCGGTCCAGAGTTTTGCAAATATCTCAGCAACGTTGTGGTTGTATTTCGCTTAGTAACCTGCCATGAAAATTATAGAAGGCAGAAAACAAAACGTTAAACATGATGAAGAGAATGTTAAGAGAAAAAAGGGAAAAATTGTAGAAGGAAATTCCAGAAAATCGTTTCCGCGGAATATGATGAAAAAAAACCATTTAGGTGAAGGAACTTTACGGATAGGCAGAATTCGACCTAGGCACTTAAGCGGAACGGTTGAGTTAGGCCACCACTACGTCTTAGACTACCGTTTCTCCCGCGTCCATTCGTTCCACCAACTTTGTTCCGATTCAAACGGTGGCGGTTCCGACTGTTCATCGCCAATCATCACCAGTCGTACTAGTTCAGATGACCTTAAAAAATAAAATGCTGTGTAATCAACATAAAATTTCCTAAAGTTGTGCAATTGCACTAGAAAATTCCGGTTCAAATGTTGGAGAAAGTGCATCCGATGAGCGCCATCTGTCGATAAACCATCATTGACATCGATCGCTGGTTTCAATAAAAACCCCGTTATGACATCACAAAACGGGCCACATTATGTCAGTCATAGGAATCTCATGAATCGCTCGCATATGAATATTTTACTGTGATTCTGAGAATGACAAAAAGCCTATCATTTTTCTGGAGTTCGAATGGCAGTTTGAGAATCCGGAAGTGGTTTTATCACAGCGCTTATCGTTCTTCACGTTCGTGTTCTATTACGGTGGTTGTTTATCGGCAACTGTAATTCTTTTCATATCATTGTTCCGACTTGTGTAACAAAAGAAACAACTTTCCATTGTTTTCATCTCTATAGTGAATGTTTTGCAATACATTGATTTTTGGAGATACTCTACATGAAATCATCTTAGCCGTTACCACTAGAAGGGGTCAGTCGACGGAGAGCGATAATTTCTGAGTGACTTTATTCCGAGAAAACTTTTTGCCAGTAGATTTACAAAAGTTTTGAAAAAGTTGGGCAAGGAAGGCAAAATGAATGACTAGTATACGGAACAGAAAAAGTCAATGGGAAAACTCGAAAGACTTCCTTCAGAATTTATACTACGGAAGGAATTTTTGATGACCCGAACTGGTTCTCTGCAAGGGAACCGCTTACGCAAAAACAGATGGAGCCGAGCGTTCTAATAGACAACGATCTGTTGCAAAGAGGAAGGACTTATGAATTATGTAAAAGTACTGTTTCTATACTACTTCAATGAACGTTACCATCTCACCTTTCACAGGTATCATCGCAACGATAACGACTCTTCGCTTTCATAAAATTACGTCCACCCAAATCCGGAAAATTCCTACTGGCTGTGAGGATGTCAGGTGCCATGTAGATCTCATTGTATACACCGCTATCCTGTAAGTTAAGATACAAACACGATGAAGTACACGGAATGAAATACGCACTTTCAGAGTCTCGATGAGCGCTGTCGGATCGGTTTCACCACAAGCGTTGACGGTTGTTGGCGGAGCCCAGTGAACAGTCGACGGAACTGAAATCACTGCAACCACTCGCACAGAAAAACGAGAAATCGTGGAATTGCAAGTTTCATTTATCTGCAATTGATAATAATCGCTACTTAGGAAAACAATTTCTAGTCTGCCTGTGAACATTTAAGTTACGGCCACTCATCCCCTTCAAAGGATCGTTCAGATTTTCGAAAAACGATGTTTAGAAATGGTTGTGATAGAGTGAATGATAGATTCTCGTGAAAAAGTGTAAAAAACACCTTAGGACATTTTCCGGAACTTTTTTTGAGCGCATGGTTAAAAACTTCGCAAATACATTGATCAGCGTTCTGTGTGTGCCCCACCCTTTCCTCAACCACACCAATGATTGATATTTTCACAGACTTCCTAGACTATTTCTAAAGAGGAAAACTTCTGTTCGTCGCTTTTAGCCTTAAGCTTTGCCAGAGTTTCCAGATACTAATTTTTGATTTAGCCTTTTCCTAGAGGCTTTCACGCTAGAACAATGTTTCGGCGGTGGCCGTTATGACGGTTAGTGCAAATCTGTTTAGAATGCTTTTGGTTGCCTACGCTGGAAGAGCGGACCGTACATCCCAACGTCTCCGGAAGGCTTGCGAAGACGGAGACGACGGCTGTTTCCGGTGTCGCAGTGGTGACCTACACTAATCCAGAATGACGTCCTCGTGTTCCAATGCGATCTGGTCCAGAGACGTGTTTGTACGAGTACACTCAAAACTAAGTTATGGCAGAATATTTGACAAACCTGAAGTTCGATTTATTCGAGAATAATTGTAAAATTTTAACACGTGGATGATGATAAGCCATATATAATTTTTCTCATTAGAAAAATATTTTTTTATAAACAGTTTTTTTTAATAGAGAAAGATTTTCATTGTACCATTTTCACTGGATCGTTTCCTACTCGACGTGTTCTTTCCTATCAAAGTTCTCTACAAGTGATCAAAGAACTTAAGGAATTATATAATTCAGTCATAACAAAATAACAGGGAAATAATGAAAAGCTGAGAGACAGGCGAAATGAAGGATCGGCATGGTGTGGTGGTGGACGCGATGGCCTCCTAAAAGGGTAATAGCGTGTTCGATCCCCACAGTAGACACCTACGGTCCGGAGTTTTGCAAATATCTCAGCATCATTATGGTTGTATTTCGCATACTACCCTGCCGTGAAAAATTGTAGTAGGCAGCAAATAAAAAGTTAACGTTAATAAAAGTAAAGTTTCCTCCCAACGGTTTACCGCCTCATCGTGACTGGGAGGTGTTCCTGGGTGTCGGACTGCGATGTAGAGTGGTGGATTCATCCCCGGCAGGCTCTCCCAAGCTGGGAAGGAGTCCGGGGATTCTATCAGGAAGGCTAGGTAACAGTAAACCAATACCAGGATCTACCACCGTCCTGGTATCAAAGTCGCATGGTGGTAAATCTCCCTCTGATCCACAAGGGCTGCAACTGCCTGTGGTGGTGACGACCTGGGGCCGACTTTGGCCAGGCTGACCTCGAGACTCCAGGAACCACAATGGCTTAACCAGTAAATCTCCGAAAAGTGGAGACTATGCTGGGCCCACACAACCAGTGAGGACAGGCCATTCAAATATCAAGTATCAAGTAAGTAAATTAGAGGATGGTTTCTAAAGAAGCGAGATAGGTTCTTTACCTCTACAAAGAGCCATTTGTCCAACAAATCACTTTAGTTCGCGCTAGGAATTCTCAGAGGTGAAGAGTTCGACAGATGAAAATACCATCGAGTCAGCAGAACTCCATGCTCATCTGGCTCGCTCCATTTATTAAAGTGTTCTATCACACATTACTATTCAGTAGCCTTTCGGCAATGGAAGTCCCCGTCATTCAGCTCAGTGGACGTTCCAATGAAGTCATGTCTTATTGTTGTATGTATAAATACCTGAATTTATAGTTGAAGTGTCGACGGTGTTGGAAGTCGTGACAGCGGCGGTGTTACCCGTGTTCTCCTGCGTTGTAACACCCGGTTCAGACGTGGCGCTGTAGGTGGTGCTTGGAACAGAACGATGTTGGACGAAATCAAAGAATCGGGTCGGTTCGACGATTGTCGAAGAATCCTTGTCTGGTTGCCAGATTCGAACACGAATTTGTGCAAAAGCTAGGCAGCAACTGAACAGTAGTACTGCCGGAAGAGGCACTGCCCACATTTGCGATGGTACAGACAGGCCAGCCGGCGGCAGAGACACTTCGCCTGACCATGAGGGAGGAGCTAGAGCACCTCGAAGGGACACGGCTAAACTGGGAGAGCGGTTGACATGGTAAGAAGATGTGTCCGTGCTGGTTGGGGAGTGGTCGGTCGATGAGAAATCGCAAAGGGAGCGTTCGAAACGGGGGGACGTCCAGCGAGGCTTCGGCGAGAGTGTGTGGCCGGCGGGGGCGCTACCAGTATAGAGCGTACGGCTGAGGGAGGCGCGAGGCTGGCGGCTTTCGGGCAGAGAGCCGAGACCGCCAGTACGCTTCTTCTGGGGTAGAGGATCGATAGTCGGAATGCGATGGTGCTGCGGGCCGGCTGGGCCCGCTACGCCCCTACTTGAGGCCCCTCACGAAGCCCTCATCGATGCATTCGGGCCGATGAGCATCCGTCCCAATAACACGGTTTGTGATCTGTGCTTTATTTGGACGATTCGTCATCAGGTCATTCCTCGTGTGCAATGAGTTATCCAGAAGTGGTCGTTGTTCTGCCGGCTCTCGTGCTTCGAGAATGTTGGCGCTGACTAATCGCATAAGGTTTTCCTGCAAAGTTGATTAGTTGCGCTGCACTTTAAAACTTTTTTAAGCACGCTGTATTTTTAAATGTGTTGTTGCTGGTGACAAAAATACTATAGGAATGGCGGGAATTTTGAATATTTGTTTTATTATCGGCAAAGATATAAACATTCGTTGGTTTTTTCTCGACCAACTGAAGCAGATTAGTTAATTAGCCAGATTTTCGAATTCATCCACATATCATACGCTGTCCAATTTTCCCATTTCTATCGTATTTGATGTAGATACTATCCTAAGAATCAAAGATACCACCTGGATATTTCAGCGATCGCATGTTGTCAGGTGAGCCGGTAATCTTGATGTCAGCTTTTTTTGTTTCTTCTGTAGTTGGAGATTTTTATCCATGTTCTTAATTCCGCTGATTTTTCATAAAGGTAGAAAATTTTGGCACTAATGCTAATGTGCTGTTTGAGATGAAGAATGAAGTTCAGGCATTGCTGGTGAGTGAGGGCAAAGCAGAAGGCGCGTTTCTGGAGCGACTTCGGTGCCTCGGATGGCAGGTCCACGTCGCCACCGTGTCGCAGGCCACCTGTTCTGTCCAGCAACTTCGGCCGATTTTGCTCCTTCTGGATAGCCACATTCCCGATCTACCCACCCTGGCTAGGTTCCTATTCATCTATCACTTATCAGTTTTTGGTTGCTTGCCGATTTACTAATGAGTGGATATGAATGGAAATACTATTTCGAGGTTCTACCACTAACGTCACTGCCCTCGGCTGTATTTCTTTTTTCTTTAACATTTAGATATCCCTATCCCTATCATCAGTTTATGGTTTTTAACAGAAAGTTTAAAATCGTATTGGTACTCATTTTAACTAGTCCTCAATAGAAGCTATATAGTTACGATTTCTGCTCAGTTCTGTTAGAAAGTTCTACCTGTTCTTCTAGGTTCTGTTAGGTATTACTACTGAAATAAGACTAGATGTAAAGCAAAACAGTCTAGGCGTTTTGCCCACTTGCATTGGATTCACTTTGAGTCTTTCAACGAAACACGGATGATCATATAACACCCGTCGTTGTTCATGAATATCTGGGGTTCCAATCTCTGAGACTCTATCATCGTAGAGTAAGACCCCCAAATACACGATGATTCGATGCTTTATCTTCCCGCTTTTGAAGGACTTATTCGTTGAATAGTGTGGAAAATCGCATGAACTCCTAGTACACACAACGTGGAGTTCCAGCGATAAGGCCGTGTGGGATTTACTGAGTGTGGGTTGGGTTCTTCCGTGCAGAGGTGCACTTCGATGTACATTTCCTCTTCTTCGTTGCTCCGACTCGTTTTGTGTCTGTCCCTTTCATGGGTGTGTGTATGCATCTGTGTGGGTGGTGTATGTGCTTCCATCAGTTTCGAAATATCGTCACAATCATCCGTCTGTGTGCATGCGCTCAGTAGAGTGATGCTTCTTTGGCATGTCTATATATATATTGTATGTAAATGTGTATATGTGTATGTATGCATACGTGTATATGCATGTGTATAGTGTCTGTGCCTGTGTCTATCCTTGTCCAAAGTACGATTTCCGATAAATTGTCGCCAATTTTCCCACATAACGATGAAAACGCTCCTCTTCTTGTCCCGTGTTTTTCGACCGCTCTCGCCTTCATACTGTAATTCGTAGCATTGTGTTTCTTCGTCGCGCTCACGTCTCGTCATTCGTTATAGCTGCTTGTGTATTCAAATGAATCCTGGCTGCCCTTATCTCGTCGTTTTTATGAGCGCTCTGACTTGCGTGATGACGCACTTCGTTCTGACGAATTGCCTCGCGATCTTTGACGCTAGTCACATTAGTTCTTGCACCATCTCCATTCAAAGGTACGACGGCGAGAGCATAACATAACTGAAAAGACCCAAGTGAATATTGACGGCGATAAAATTGACCTCAGATATTGTTGTGGGCACTGAAACGACAATAGCTCCTTTATGGATAACTATAGACTTACGTATAGGGAGTGGTTAGAGGTGCTGTGCACCACACGAGTGGCCCTTAGTTTGACGTCGCATCCCACGTTCACCAATACTTTCACTGCTGCGGGGTGGGCTAATTAGTACCATACTTGTCTGGGAGGATAGCAGCATTGACTTGTTGATTCGGTAAGCCAACGCAAATCATTGTATAGACCAGTTGTGCATTTGAGCACTCTAGCAGTGCTTGATAAGGTCGAATACGTGATGCTTTCGTCAGTAATTGGTGAACGCCGAACGCTTTCCTTCTTTGATTCTTCGTGGGCACGTAACAATTTAAACTTACTGTGAGTGCCCTTGGTGCGTCTTGATGTTGGTACATGTGCATGTGTGTGTTGTGTGCTAGCTGCACTTCTGCCTTTTCTGAACTTGTCCATTACTTCCGCTGGAATTTATTTGGTAGTCCGAAGTATGAACGCTATTAAACGATTTTTCGCTTACTTTATTCCTAATGCGTAACTGAATAAGTCTATCTCAAGCGGATTGGTTCTGGGAAGTCCAATGTACTGTCGGTTTGGTATCGATGCCATGCCATCTCTTGACGATATGACGATGAAGACTGTCAGCACTTATCAGAAAGTGCATAAAACCATCAAGTCAAGTATGTAACTGCGTCGGGTGTGGTCGACGAACTATTTTCAATCCTTGAGAAGTAGTGCTCTGGTGTCGCGTCGATTCGCAAGTCGCTTAACCTGCTCTGTGTCTTCGGCGTTTTGACTCTCGCCTTCTGGCGCTCTTCTCTTGTTGTGCGCGTCAACAAAACCGGTGGTACTCGGTTACGCTCAACCCGTGAAGTTCGGAGTCAGCCGGCTGACGTGAACGGCTTGCTGACGACTGGACGAGGATCTGTGGGGTAGAGAGTCTAGAGACAGGTGTTAGAGTGAAAGGAGCGGAAACAACCGAAAGGCTCTTGATGTTCACATTATTTCAGGAATCTCCACTCATCCACTAGCGAGGACGTTTTCTTCGTCGTCATTGCTGACAGGTTAGTATCTGTTGCCTTTTTCGCTTTGAAATTTGTTATAAGCAAAAAAAAAAAAGAAATCGCATAGATTCTGTAAAGAAAGAGACGGGTGTTCTGCAAGTATAACGCTTGTTCTTCATCTAGTAGATCTATCACAGAAATGCTTTCTTAAACGTTAAAATTAGCTCCGATTGGCGAAAAACACCTGGTAATTGCGTTTTTCCTTGCCCACCTCGTTTTTTCTAAATAGGGATATAATGAAATTCCAGAAAAATATATAATAGTTAAGTAGTCATCGAATCAATAAAACGGCAAGCGCCAACCAGTGAGTAGGTTTCTTCCTCTTGTGGGACTGCCTGCAAGGCTGGCGTTTTGCTAGAGAAGGTATTGGTTTTTTCCATGGCATCTTGAAAGTCGAGCATTCAGTGGATGTTCAGGAAGTGCTGGAGCTATGTGGAAAGTCTAGTTAATCAAGAAAGGTAATGAGCCGGCAGATAAAATCTTTGGGAGTTTTTTTTCCTTTGGAAGAGGTTTAAACATATGGACGAGTTTTCGGGATGTTAGAAGTTGTGTTGGGTGTAAACATTATTGTTTTCTTTTGCTATTTTAACTCATTCTAAAAGAAACAACGGTTTTTACTTTTTCCATTGTTAATCAATTTTCATATCGGCTTAGTAGCAATACGTGAAATGCTTGATCAGAGTGGTACCCATGATTTTGAACTGAACATCGGTTGAAGTCGTAATACCGTTGTTTACGAACTCAGGGATTGTAAAGGCACTTTTAGAAAGGGAGAGAGAGAAAGAAACTGTGAGGTGGGAAGGAGAAGAAAAACGAGAGAAAAGCTGGGGAAGCAAACAGATAAATAAGCTATTATCAGCGGACGATCACGACTATCAGTAAGAATAATCCTGTGTATAAGAGCATCTCAAGGTGAGTATCCTTCATTCGAGAGATGTTCCACTGAAGAGGATCCGGTTCGATACACGACAGAAACACTACATCGAGAAGATGAGCGGCTGAAGACATCGACTCGGATCGTCGAGTCCTAGGAAGACGAAGACGTCAAAACTTTAGCCGGAATAAATATTGGGAATAACCTGGTGCTAGCTTATCAATGAAACAAGGTACATTGATCATTATAGGTTGAAACCGATGAAAATCGGTTTACAACGATAAAACTGGAGACTTGTTACATTGGGTGTTTAAATAAGGTAATGCTGAGATATTGGCAAAACTCCGGACCGCAGGTGTCTGCGGTGGGGAACGAACGCGCTATTGTCCTTTCCTGCCGATCAATGGAACTAGCTGAGAGATAGGCGAAACGAAAGACCCGCATGGTGTGGTGGTGAACGCGTTAATCCCCGGAAAGGGCAATAGCGTGTTCGTTCCCCACCGCAGTCACCTGCGTTCCGGCGTTTCGCCAGTATCTCAGCATTATCTTAGTTGTATTTCACATGATACCCTGCCGTTAAAAATTATAGTAGGCAGTAAATAAAAAGGGTAAGATTGTGTGTTTAATTTGAGAAAGGTGGATGTGGTGAGATCAAGTCGTTTTCATAACGACTAACGTCAAGCGCAAATCCCCACAGATTACGAAGGAATTATGTTAAATGAAGAGCTTAACTTCAAATCTAACCTGTCACTTGGGAATGAAAAATGCCTTCCGCCAAAAAAGTCGTGGATGTGTTTCGCCACACTCGTCTTCCTTCTATCTCATTATCAATTCATTTTAGGCCGATCGGTGAGAAGCGGAGGAAGTCGTTGGCACAGGCGAATATCGTTCACGTCAGTGCTTTCACTAAACTATGCTTCGACTGAAGTTTAATTTCACAGAGACAGGCGAAACGAAGAATCCGCATGGTGTAGTGGTGAACGCGCTACTCCCCGGAAAGGACAATAGCGCGTTCGTTCCCCGCCTCAGACACCTGCGGTCCAGAGTTTTGTAAATATCTCAGCACCATTGAAGTTTAATTTCACAATTATTTGATTTTTAGAGAAGCAAATTGATTCTGTAGAACTCATTTTAGAGGTCTCGTTCCTTTTTTCTTTTGCAAAAAATTACTGCAAAAATTGTCTAGAGGGTTCAGCACTTTCTGGTTTTCGCAATACATTCTGTGTTTTTTCACTAATCCATGGTTCGCCTATATAAAAACACTTTTATCACTGCAGTGATCGTCTAAAAATTTGTCCTAGAAAGGTTTCGGAACGATCAATTTTTGTAGGCTTTGACTTTTTCCTTTCTCTTGAAAAATAACTTTACGAAGAGTAAAGTTTGTATGCTACTCATTCATTACTATTGACAATGTAAAGACATTCCTACTCTTTCGCCACAAAAAATCCGTAGCTTCTTTCATGTTTTGCTTTGAAAAATTCGTTGAAAGCTAGAAATCACCTCAACGTCATGTCGCCTAGTTGGTGGAATCAAAAACTGAATCTTCTGAAGGAAATTGCGCCTTCCAACGCGATTGGTATTCTGAGTGTTTACTTAACTCTGATACTGACATGGTATGATAACGCCTATGTGAAGTGCTTCTTGACCACTACACAGCTGGTACAGCAAGTGACCCGTTGCTGACAAAATGTTAAGAGTAGTGCTCAATGTTTTTTGCAGGCCGTACAATGGTCGTCCAGGGACACCTCGTTGGTGGAGTTCGTCGCCCGTCTGGCGAATCGGATTCGCGTCATGCCGGCGCTGTTCGCCATTCTAGACGAGGTTCGCTTTTGAAGCAGTCGTATACTGGTTGCTAATCGCAACTGGTCTTCACAGTTTTTCATTCTCTTTGAAATCCTCTATTGCTCATATTTTTTTCATTATGGAATATATTGTGTAGGTTTTTGAATACTAAGAGTTAAGGATTTCAAAGTTGCCAGGTAAGGGAATCATACTAATATGTGCTTTTTTTGTTCCCATTACAGGCGTCCTTTTTTCCTCATGTTCATTTTTTAGCAACCTTCCACTCCATTTTAGGCTTCTCTTAATTCTTGGCGTTCTTTTTTTCCAACAATATTTTCGTTAGTGTCTATTTTTTTCCTGGTCTTGTTCGACTATCCAGAAAAAACGTGTGCGTGATGAAGAACTCTCAAGTGAGAAAAATGAGCTCATTTTTCTGATAGGTCCGTCAGCACGAATCAGCGTTGGAATCGATCCGTCTCCGTCATTGCCTTCCTCGTACGTCAAACTTTATGTCCTTTATGTTGCGATTTTTCTCCTGCATCTAGATTTACTGCGGCAGTCAAGTCACCCTAATGGCCCAGCGCTTGTTAGCCATGTCTGTGAGGACTTTTAGGCATGAAGATATGCAGCACAGTCAGTCATCAGCGAGTTCGGACAGTGCCGTATAATCGCGCTCAGTACTGTTAACCCATTGACGCCACATGATCTGTACACCTAACAGAAAATAACTTAATCATTCGAATTTAAACAAACATACCTCAGCTTATGATAAGCTTTATTTTTTACACGGTCCGTTTTCATATCTATTGCGTGGATCACGGCACTTCTCCCATTCGATTTCTTTCTTGGCATCCACCATCCACGCAAATATTCGGAGTCGCCTGTTGGTTTAGCTACTGTTTGAGAATTTTTGCTCATTATTTTTCTTTCCTTAGGTTCTTTATGGATGTTAGTGAGTCCGGGTCGAGTCGATATTCTCTGTCTGAAAACTATACAAGGGATAGCCGCCCTTGGACGTGCTTAAGTCTTGTGAACTGCATGAAGCTATTTAGGCAAGTCTAATGCAAATTCCCTGAACCTGGAAAGATGGGAGGTTAGGCTAGCCACTCGGGGTTGAACCAGGCCTTGATTGTATTAAATGACATCACTAAATGTTGCGCTTATCATCTTTAGATAAGGAGTTTGCCTATTACTAGGCAAAGAAATTGTTGCTGTGTTTGAATGACATCTCCAACTTCTGCAGTTATGCAGCGTATTAAATCCCAACGACATCACAGAATAACCACCTTTTTGAGATGTTCTAATTGCAGTTATGCAGTAGCAGTTTTCTTTGTGAAAGCCAGTAGAGCATATAAGTATGGTTGACGTAATGAACCGAGCTAACACCCGCTTCCTCAATGACAATTTCTTTCGGCAAGTTCTCCGTGTATAGTTGGAGACAAGGACATTCCAGCACATTGTAATGCAGAAAAGCCGTCCATTCTTCTACAGTTTCTAAAATCTTCTTAGGAAGTGTTGCCTATATAGTAATTATGATTAGTTGCCAGTCGTTTTGTGTGAATCGAATTCATTTCATGGTAGAAACTAGAGTTTCACAAATGCTTTTGGTCCGTCGCAATCATGGTATCATTTCTATCACCCTTTTACAGCCGTATTCACCGTGACTTGAACTAATTTGGAGTCGTTTACAGTGAGGAGGATTATTTCGTCGGATTTAATATTTGAAAAGAAGGAAGCTGAAGGGAGATGGTTAAGGGAATGTGTTGGGTTTCCAAGTGGTTTTCTTGTTGAGCTCAAGGCTCGCTGCGGTGATCCATTGTCAACTATCGGCTGAAATACGGCTGGCTGCAACCAGCTGAAATGAAATCTCTTCTTTGCATAATCGAATTCATTCCCATAGAATAGAGCTGCCGATTTTTGTTCTCCGCCTGAAAATCAGAGTATGGCTAGCTGTCATGACGAGGCCGTACAACTGACACTTTACAGGCTGATCAAGCAGTTGAGGTGTGCGACGAGTCGAAGGTGGTGCAGTACGTGAACAGGGCCTATGAAAGTGTTACCGGTTGTCTGAGAGGAGAAGTTATCGGCAAGTTTGTTCTTTTTTATTTCATTCGTGATTTTCATTGCTTACATCACTTTCTTCACTGTCTTCTTTTTTTTTCCTTTTACTTACTCTTCTCTGAAACTATTGTTCTCATGGATATTTAATTGTTCTGAAGAGGGACAAACAATTCCATGAATTCGTAGAAGATCTTATCCGGAGGCAAAAATGTCCCAATGTAATCCTTCTTGTGGATTTCCCTGAGTTCAAACAACCTTTTCCATCTCTACAGTTTTTCTGTTGTCTTTTGAAACTTCAAAAATTCCCATCAAACTATCTAAGCACGGTTCGATTGATAATGTTGGTTTCAAATCAGAATTCGTTGGAGTTGAAACTGCAACAAGTACAAAGAAAAAAGCCAGTTGCAAAAGATTTCTCAGTGAAGTCAATGAAAATATTTCCTTGCATGGCTGCCTTGTTTTCACGTAGGAGACCCACATAGAATTTCCTCGTCATTACTTCTTCTAGTATGTTGGTATTTCTTTGATATTACGTTTTCGCCATACTGACAGCTATGACATCAACACTTCTGATGAGGACAGCTGTTTTTATTGGCATTCATTATACATGTTTCATGGTTACATGGTTTTTTTTACATCGAATCACGGTTATAGGCAACGAACATGCACTTCTTCTACACCTATGACATTGTCTTAGATAGCACCTACAAATGCGGGTTCCTACCAGAAAGTGGCGCGATAAAGTGTGGGAAAACAAGGAGCGCTATCCAGTCGAAGAGATAACGCTGTGCTATCGCGAATCTTAGTGCTCAAGGGGATTTTCGAATAAAAAAAAACAGCTACTGAAGAGAAAAAATGGTGCGAACGACGAACAAAAAAAGAAAAAGGAAGCACTACTCAATGGATTTTCGCATAGAATAAAGCAGAAGCTGAGAAGAAAAATGGGGTGATGAGGAAGCAAAAAAAGAATGGAGAAGAAACAGTAGACAGGGCAGTCTTTGGCTTGAAATATAAAACCATTCTAAAATATTTCCTTACTTGAAAATGATCATTTCGGCTTTTATTTCTGTTCATTTTTTCAACGGCTAGTGGCCCTTTCGCAAAACGTGGAAAATTAGTTGCTTGTGGAATTATTGTGCATTGATCAAACCAAGTTGTGCTAACCTCAGTTATTTATGAATTCTTTTCTTTTTTTTGGTTATCTAACCACGTACGAATCTTTATGCGAAAGTTACCGAGCCACCTAACGCGAAGTTACATGGCGAATCGCTATTTTATGGATGGGAGGAGCATCGGAGCACCGAGCAAAATTGACTTTGTGCTTTCTCAGAGGCGAAGGCTGAACAGATTCTCCATCTATGCTGTACCACATTGGTTTGCACCTTCCGCGTCTAAATGACCATATTCAAATATGCTTGCGTGTCTTTTGGTGTACAAACAGACTGTATCTTGCGCCTGGATCGGGGTTATAAGTCTGCAACCACGCGACAGAGAAATTTATGAGAGGCTACACGGAGTTACGTAGAACAAGTGCGTACCATGAGAACGCGACCACTGTATGAGTACCTCTGACAGAGTTGGAATCTTCATCAAAGTGGGCATAGACGTCGATAGATACCGTCGAGCTATTTAACCATAGAATAATTTGTTCATCTCGTCGGCAAGATATTCTACCGCGTTTTTCATGTAGGGAAGGACTTGAACAACTAGCGAACCTTAAACCAGTCTTCCCTTACGGGCCAACGAATTTGCGAGAAGCGTTCGATACCATGAGCATCTGTTTACCCTTGGAATGCTCATCAAGGTATAATATATATATATATATATATGTATATATATGCATTTATATAGGCATACATATACATATATACAGGCATATATATATACATATATATAGGCATATATATGTATATAGGCATATATATATATAGGCATATGTACATATACATATAGTCTATGATGACTATAGTGCACTAGTTAGAGGTATGTGGAATACACATCGGATAGTTCGCAGATCGTATCCGGAACCTTGGCCGTATAAAACCTTCCATCACTGCTTCCCGGCAGATTTGAACCAGACATGTCTACGAGAATAAAAACACTGAATATAGGCCAGATATATGTTCAGTTACTTCTACAGTGCTTGACGAAGTCGAATCCACGGTGCATCCCTCAGGGAATGATCAACAACACTGGAGGCTTTTTGCCGTAATGCCAGGCATAGCTCATGAATAATTCAAGAACCGTGTGCTATACTACCTGTATAACTATTATACCGTTAATTATCGGGTAACTAGAAGAGACACTAGTAAACCACATTCATTCTTGTCGTCCACGAAAGCTGCTTTGTTGGCCTCGTCGGCCCGAGGCATATACGGAGAACCGAGCACTTTTATTATTTCTTTCTTTTTCTATTTTTTGTGATAACGTAGCTGCGATAATTCTTATGATTATACCATGGCATAGCTTTACTCTTAATATGTTTTCGGATACAATTAAATGTCGAACTATCAGTTTGTAGGTCTTAACACTGAACTTCTCATGAACACCACCCAACTACGATATGTGGGTGTGAAGTAGTGGAGAGAGAGAACGTTATGTGATGCGTGCACCTTCGTTCCGTCACCCTTTCGACCTCGTCGGACACCTTTGTGCTACGTAACCCAAATGTAATTAATGTCAGCCTTATCGAAGTCTTTTTTGAGAGAGCCACAAGTATTCCATATCATGCAAGGGAGATGATTCGAATGTTCAATCTACATTCAGGTATTTAAGACATTGTTCCATACGTGAAGGTGTTGAAAGTTGGTTGGTGCGTGACATATCTTAACGACAATCTTCAACACCGCGTGGATTCCAGGGGTACTTGTCGGGAGTGCCTGCGACTCTGTCGTAAGACTTTTGGTGAAGATTGGATTGCGAATAATAGTAAAATAAAATAAACCGAATAAAAACGTGGTTTTCTTTGGGTCCTCAAGGCATTAGAATTCATCGAGTAACTTCCTCATGGTCAAATATGGATGTTACTGGGATTCACTCGAATATTACATCTAATAGTAGTCTAAAATCCGCTTGTGGTGTGAACACCATGGTGCTATTACTCATGCCGTGATACAATATCGTCCACATTTCAGTGGATAGAACTCACTACCTTGCATATGACTATGCACAGTAAGAGTACTACTACTCCGAAAGATCTTCCATAAAATGAGGTACTACCGCATTTTTACGTATAAAACCAAAATGCATGTTTCGCTTCATCGCCATCTTCTGCCATGTTTTCTCGGGAGTGACATAACGCATTATAAAGAGGCAAACTCTGCAAGTCAAAAAACCATCGCTTCCATAGGGACTTTACGATTTATTTCTACACTAATGTGGCCACGTTCAAGTTATCGATATAGGAGATGGTATATGCTGTTGACATTCTTTTAGAAGAGCAATTATGGACCACAATATTCACATTGTCATCCGTCACCTGTGTCGTTCTTTTTATTACCTGTTCTTAGGGCATATCCCAATAATTCCCACGATCGACTTTCTGTTAACTTCGGTATTGATCAAGTAGTTCTCGATATTCTTGTTGAGCAAACACGAGGTGTTATTTTATACTTTATTCCGTTGAAGCTGACGTTTCGGCGGTCGTGTTGTGTGATTTCCATTTAGATTTTCATCTTTCTGTTTGTGCTATCGAAGAGTTTGGCATAGCATACTGCATGTCAATATACCCTTCCAGGCTCTGAAGAAGGTGATACTGCCTCGTGCACCTCGTGTTTGCTCAACAATAATATCGAGAGCGACATTTCAGTGTTTCTACCTTGGGTTTTTTCAAGAAGGAAGCCTGGAGTCTGAGCAGATCAAGTGAATATCGTTTTTAGGGCAGCCTGAATCCGACATGAGGCGGAAGTCGTTGCCACGACCGCGCGATGACGGCGTCATGGAGCGCCGACGCAGCAACGACTGGAAATGCATCCGGGTGCCGACTAGCTCACAGAAGTTAGTGCTGTCATCGTTCGCATTTTTCGGGCTATTTTCTGCATCCATTAATGTATTATTCATGTGAGAGCGATTCTTACGGCAAATACGTTGGAGCGGTCGTCCTCATCTGTGTTTGCCCACTAATTTCTTACACTCTCACCCTTTCGTCTAGAAAATTCACTGACCTTCAGTTTACTCATGTCTCGTGTTCGTTTCCTTGTGTAATTGTTCAGTAACACACCGCCAAGCGTCATGATGCAGAATTTGGTCTCATAAAACAAGAACATTCCAGAAAAACTGTCAGTGAATTGAGCGCCATTCATTAAACGTAGTTTTGTTAAGTTTCCATATGAGGCAGAAAGTCGGTCATTTAGAGATATGGAACCTTAGGGAAATCATTGTCGGATTTTCTTTTACTTCATCACTTTAGGTCTATTGTCAATTCTCATATTGTTTTTGATTCTCCTAATTCAGCCTTATTTGAAATTCGATTCTCATTACTTTTCATAAACACCTGTCTGATATACAGCGAATGTCGCGCAGTGGTTAGAGGCGCCCTGAAATGCACATGACTTCGCATCCCTCAGGGATTGATTGACGCCGAAGGCTTTGTACTTTTTTACTTCTCTAGTATCTGTAAACACCCTTTATCAATCGAGTGTGAGGATGATTCTCTCACAGTGTCGAATTCATGTGGGGGTCCTCGTAGACATGGCGGTAACGTATGCCATTCCACCTTCTTCCTGAACTGAACTCGACTCTGCGGGTGACCGCGGGGCCGCCTCCGCTGTATACCTCGGGGATTCGCGTCGTGACGTCACACAGAGACGTCACGCGCGACACCACGGCGGGCATGGGCGTTCCCGGGCCATACCGCTTGGTAGTATGTACCATCCAGATACTCCCACTGCGCTTCTTATCAACCTCCGCTAACACCCGTGTATCGTATTGTCCACAGAACTTGCTGGATCCAGTGCAAAAGAAGGAACGTTTTCTTCATTGTTTAACAGCATTGTAGGTGATAAAAACTGTTTTTGTTGTTTTCGCTCTTAACCCTAGATAGGGCATGATAAGTTAAAAAAGACGATTTTGTTCCGGTGACATTCTGAACCTGGCCATCTACGGTACAATAGAACCGGAGCATCTGACCACATTGTGTTTCCATTCCTGCCCAAGTGTTTCGCGTTTATCTACTTTCAGAAGTTATTTAGGTTGAATTTAATGTCACACGTTTATGGTCTTTTTAATTCGTTACGGCCTTTTCTTACCAAAAGCAAAATTCAAAATTTCCTTGTTTTCAGTGGTTTCTATTGATCGATGTTGTGATTCAATTTACTGAGGTGTTTACATTAGTTAACATCATGTGGTTTACTAAAAAGGTAGGTTGTTGGCTCTCGAGCCACCATACCAGGAAATAAACAAGTCGGATGATGGTCGCTGTGTTTGTTCACTCTTAAGGCCGTTTTGGTCTGGTGTCATCCACATGACACTTGACTCGATTTGGCTAGTACGGTTCCTGGATCACCTGCTATGAATCAAAGACCGCTGGGATTAGCTCGACCTAAGATACGAGACGCAATATTTTTCCTGCTAATCTTTGTTCAAACTGTTCAATTCTAAAATGAGTTCATACTCAATCTGAGTGGCCAACGATTTCTCTATCTTATTAGTTGTGACTGACGTGAAGTAAGTAGTTGTTTCATCTGGTTATAACATAACGACTACCAGCAAATCGTCTAGTGTAGAGTTCCATAGCATGGTTGAGTTCAGTATCTAATGGTTATGGGCACGTGTGGCGCAGTGGTCGGAGGCGCCCTGCAACACACGTGGAATGGATCCACGCGCCCATGGCCCATCAAGCTTTTATCCCTTCGGTGTCGACTTATTGGTATCAGATTTGTCTGGGAGGATAGCAGCACTGGCTCCATACATCGGTAACCTGGAGTCATTGTAAACGCCAGATGTGCAATCACACCTCCAACGGTGCTTGAGGAAGTCGAGTACATGGCACATCCCTCAGAGGTTGATCAAAACTGAGAGCTTTATCCTTATTTATTATCTAGTCGTTACCAGTTTGTTTTTTCGCAACAGTTTGTTTAAGCCTACTTTTTCAGCACTCAATACGTGTACATGAAGAGGCGGAGTACTGATAGTGAGTTTATGTCATTTTCTGCAGATATGTAGGTATTCTGAAAAAACAAACAGGCAAATCATGAAGTGAAAGGTAAAAGCTTTTCATTTCTCGAAATTTCATGTGAATATACAGTAGTATAAAAAACACAGATGCACCTTCGCTGTAAGTGCAAAGTGTTTCCGCTTTGAGTGAAGACCCTACTTCCAAGATACTGTCGTACGGGCCTAAATTACTGAAAACTTCCGTGACCTTCCTTAACTTAAGACATTTACTGTTTTTCACTTGTATCAACACATTGAGTCTGATGTTACCACTAAGTAAACTCTTTTGTTGCATGAGTTTGAAACATGTTCGACTTTGAAGACACTAGTATCAGATTCGGCTATTGTGCAAAAACTGCAGAGGTCGACTAGAAATTTTTCGAAGAGTTTCGGCACCTTTGCATTTCATTTAGAGATCGGATGACTTCAAAGGCAGGTTGAATGAGGCTCAAGCACTTTTGTTTATGGAAACTAGCGTTTGTTGAGTGTAAACAATTAGACATTGATATCCTCTATCTTTTCTAGCAGCTTCACGTCCTATGTCTCATTTTCTGTCAGAATTAGTTATTTCAACGGATGGATTACCAATTACCAATCACCACTCGGATATTGCTTCCTGCGAATGACTTGTAAATCGGTAGTTTTGCCCAGAGTTCCATTTACATTCGCGAGCTCTTTGTCGTCTTTTTTCGATCATTTGCATTTATCTGAACTAGGGATTTAGCTAGTAATAACGGATTCGAGTACTTAATAGATGCGAGTGGTAGTGGTGTTTAGGGTTTTATTATGAGGTTGTAAATAAGAAGAGGAGATCGTCCATTATCTAGAACCGAAACGAAGCATCAAAATCTGGGTTCATTCCTCGGTGATTGTTCGACAAACCTCTAGAAATTCTGAGGAACGAGTGTTTTCAACCCCGGATCTTATAGAAACTGGAAGATGTCTACCTTGCTGTGAACATTGAAGAAACAGTATGCTGCCATTACTTGTCTTCAATTCTTCCCACCTTGTTTATTTTTTAAAACCTGTTTTCTGGCATTTTATATACACGCAAGTGTAGCTCAGTGGTTAGAGGGGTCGCGTCGGTAAAGTGATACTGAACTCGTCTGCTGGATTCTTCGTTAAATTGTTAACTTGGATTAAACTAAGAAATTTGTGAATAGCATTACACCTATAACCACTATACTGTACACTCTCATCAAAATCTAATAATGACACAAAATCACAATTTAATCGGGATAGTTTAGCGTCGATTTATCGCGATGTCTCACTGAGAAGCGTTCGATCACAGGTTGGTATGGTCGAGGCTCCCATATCCGAGGTAAATGTTTTCAATAGCTTCTCACACCTTCCTACTTCAGAAGAAGAGTTTATTTAATTTGTTCACGAAAATGAAACCTACACTGAACAAAGCATATGATAGTTAAAATATGGTAGCGTAAAACGTAAGAAATTTAAAAGAGAAGGCTCAGGTTTAAGTGAGAAAACATAAGGGTGTATAACATTAAACATATTTACTTATCACAGTCGTCATCGTTAAGGCATTACGTATGTTATGGAGAGAAGGTTGAGAGCGGATGTCGCGCGGTGGTTAGAGGTGCCCTGCAATACACACATGATCGTTGGTTTGACCCCACGCCTCGAGTTCATCGAGTCCTCCATCACACCGAGATCCGCAAATTTGTACCAGACTTGTATGGAAGGATAGCGGCACTGAATTAATATGTTGGTGTGTCAACATAAGTAATTGTATTGCTCAAATGTGCATTCAGTCAGCTCCGACGGTGCTTAATAAAGTGGAATACGTGGTACATCCCTTAGGGATTGATCAACGCCATGAACATCATTTTTATGGAGATGAGACGAAATTTCCAACCGCGATGAAGCGCATATGTCTTGTAGATTCTTCAATGATGTCATTCTTAGATGGGCTTCGAAATTGTTTTAATGTTGTACTGGACAATAAACATCCTGCTGGAGCCGGGGATGCGCGTAATTGATTAATTTATCTATACACTGGGAGCTTGGATGCTTGCTGTTAATTACTTGACTGTCCAGGTCTTCACCACCACAAGTAGTCGCAGCCTTTATGGATCAAAAGGAGATTTGCTACCATGTGACTTTGATAAGGGGACTGTGGTGGATCCTGGTATTGGTTCACTCTTAATTAGGCCTCCTGATGGGAACGCCGGGCCGCTTCTCAGCTTGGTAGATCCTGTCAAGGGGATGGTTCTCCTGCTGTACATCGCAGCCCGACACGCAGGAACACCTCCCAGCCACGATGAGGCGGTAAACCATTAGAAGGGAATGCTCGCTGTTATCTTAGGCATATGAGTTTTCTGTTTTTTAGTGGTAGAAATTTATGTTATTGAGCTACAATAAATCTCGCTTACTGAACATAACTTAGGAAGGCTAACCAAAAGATCTGGGCTCATTAGTAACGGTCTCCTTCTTCAACGATCGTTCGTAACTAACGTTGAGCGCACTGTAGAAGGCGCTAGACCCAAAAGTGCATTACGATAGTTTGCAACGGCACTTCAAGATGGTGACTGTTAAAGAAGAAGAACTGAACTGAGATGAAAAATGTCTCATTCGAGATTTGAGTCAATAATAGGAACTCTTTACAGAAACTACTTTTGTTTGACATTCGCTTCGTGACATATGCTAGTATCTTTGGAAAAAGAAATCGTCTCAGATAAAGTATAAAGAAGATAAAAGAGGATAAAGCCCTCGGTGTTGAATACTTCCTTAGGGTGCGCCATACATTCGATTTTATCAAAGGTCGTTTGGAGGTGATTGAATGCATATCTATCTTTTACTCGCGGTGGCCTACCGGTGTATCAAGCCAGTCTTGCTATAATAATTGAAATTACGTAGGATAATATTATATAAGCGTTAAATCTTGGAAGAGGTTTGTAGAAGGGAATTATAATTTCCACTTCTGACTAACAAAATAGGCGAATGATTTTTTAATTTGATAGATATCTCGTTCATATTGATCCACAAAAACTATGGTTATGTGATCCTTCTAGAATGCATTGTTTGAGCATAAGCGCTAAGATTCTGAGGATGATGCTGGTGGCAAAGGTGAAGGATAATGAGCTACTAAACTAACAGTTTGGGTTATACTAGGTATCTACACTCATGTGTATCCATGTGGGATGTCCATCTCAACCGTCATTGGTCATACAAAGTATCGGCAGTTTTTTTGACATTCCCAACAAACCCAGTCGAAAGAGAGACAAGTACAGACAACTCAATTTGGAAGCTGTTTAAACGTGGCATCCTCGTTTGGATCGGGGCCCGTCGACTGCAGCGAGAAGGGTGATTGTCTCGATGGAAAACTCACTATCTGCTGGTGAATAAACAGTACTAGATTGTGTAGAACACGTCTAATCAAATACATTTGGCATGTACGCTAAAGATGTTGAGCCAATTTTAGGACAGAGTTTTCTGTTAGATAGAGTATCTGTTGGCTTGATCTCCTACATATCATTTGGATGGCTTATTGCCATAGTATTTCAAAAACCGACTTTCTTTTAACCTCACTATGACTAATCAACATATGTTTAAATTGTTGAGCTTACACGAGGCTGATAAACAAAATTTATTCGGCCAATGTTTCCACGTCTTCGTCTCCCTCAGAGCCGATGGACCGAGTGGATATCCACGGTCGTATTCGTGTTCTCTATGTAGCGTCTTCGTCGTCGTATCGAGTCGGATCTTCTTCAGTGGATCACCACTGAAATCAGGAAATTTTACCTGGCGATGCGCGTTTATACAGAGTGATTGTTGTTGCTATAATTGTTTAGTGATAACAACTTGTTTTTCCGGAGAATCTATCCTTCAGTAGTCGTATGATTATCAGCCAGCAAAAAGCGCAATATTTTAAAAAGCGGGTTCCCTTAAGCCTTGGTACGACTAATCAACATTTGTTGAAGTTGTTGAGCTTACACTAGGTTGGTAAATAAACTTCTTTCGGGTAAAGTTTCGACTTCTTCGTCTTCCTTAACGACTCGGATCATCGGTTCTGAGAAAGATTAACCGAATAAAGTTTATTCATAACTTTCGTGTAAACTCGAAAATTTAAGCACATATTTTGGTACTATTTTAATACGAGCATGCTCCATGGTTTTGATCTTTCTATTTATCCTTAACCATTGAAAGAACTATTTCTTAGACATAAGCTTGTAGGCTGATTACGAACATTTACGTCAGGTTTATTATATGTTCTCAGACGTGGATCCGTTCTTTATCGACGCCTTCTGTTCGCTGACATTTCTCGAGACTCACGATAAGTAGAGTTTTCATTTATTTCTGTTTGACTATTAAAAGGACGAAGGATAAAGCTCTCGGCGTTAATCAGTCCCTAAGGGATGCGCCATGCATTCGACTTCATTATGCGTTGCTGGAGGGGACTGAATGCATATTTGACCTTTACAATGACTCGCGGTAGCCTACCGATGTATCGAGCCAGTGCTGTTATCGTCCCAGACAAGTCTGGTACCAATTTACCAACCCCGGAGAGGTGAAAGCCTTGGTAAGCCTGCACTGCAGAGATCACTCCCATGTTTATTGCAAGGCGCCTCAGACCACTGCACCACACGCGCCCTATTTGACCGTTAGCAGTTAATTATTCTCTGAAAAATTCCTGCATTACGAAACTGCCAACAATTCTTCGCTGGTGAAGAACTATCTGTCGCTGATTCTCTGTACTGGGAAGTACCTTTGAGAGCCAGTAAATCGATTTAATTTACTGTCCGAACTTATGTTTGAGAAGAAACAGTTCGCTCCCACCATATGTTCTTCGGTCATTGTTGATCCATCGATGGGCCGGAAGTAAAAGCGAATTTTGATGGAGAACGCAAAGCAGTTCTCGTTTCTGTTAGACATTTCAAAATTGATGCCTGCTTTCCAGAGACCATCATCGAACTGACTCAGCTTTTTCTTTTGTGATTTCTAGGTGGCTGATAGTGGATAGTTAATGATTATTTGTTTCTCATCTTGACAGCAAGGTCAGTAATTAGTAGACGTGGGTTTATTTTTTATTTTAAAGTTCTCCTCTCTGGAAGGCCAGCGGATATTTGTAAGGTAGATAGAGAATTCTCTAAGCGAAATACAACCACAACGTTGCTGAGATATTTGCAAAACTCTGGACCGCAGGTGTCTATGGTGGGGAACGAACGCGCTATTATCCTTTCCGGGGAGTAACGCGTTCACCACCACACCATGCGGGTCCTTTGTTTCGCACGTCTCTCAGCTCTCACGCGTTACTCCCCGGAAAGGACAATAGCGCGTTCGTTCCCCACCATAGACACCTGCGGTCCAGAGTTTTGCAAATATCTCAGCAACGTTGTGGTTGTATTTCGCTTAGTAACCTGCCATGAAAATTATAGAAGGCAGAAAACAAAACGTTAAACATAGTGAATTCTCTGTTTGATAGAGAAACTCTTCATAGTACCCCACCACCAAAGGAGTTGGCTCTGGGGCAGCAGTTTTCCAGCGCAATATTACTGGTGCTTTTACGTCCGTGTGTATGTTCTTCACTCGATGTCGTTGGTTAACAGGATTCTCTTTGGGCGTGTTGTTCCTTCATCATTCTTCGTTGTTAGTGGTCCGAAATAATCTACATCTACATGCTCGAACGGTCGTGATCTTCCTCCTCTCCTTTTCTGGAAGGTCGTCCATCAATGGAATCTAAGGTAGATAGAGAATTCTCTATTTAGTAGAGAAATTCTCTATTAATGTAAGTTTAAAGTTAAAGTAATGGAAAAAGGTAAAAATTACTTTTGTGCTAAATGTGGTCTTACTACGAAGTAATCTAATACTTTTCGTTTTATGAAAGTTAGTGATGATTCACTTCAGGTTCTTTCGTTATTACGGGATGCGGCTGGACAGGTAGAAGGCGAAACTGCACAACTTGTGAAGGATGCTGTCAAGGTGATCCAAATTTGAGTCGATTTCCATGGAGATAGTTTTCGGATGAGCAAAATAACTAAAGAAAAGGAATTGTCACTTTGCCATGCCTTTTGTGGTATCGATTAGAAGACCTTCTTGCTTCGAAAACCGATGAAAATCTGAAAAAGCCGTAGACCAGTTTGTTGCGCTCGAGTACTGATTCATTTCCGGGTGAAGAGGCTGAAAGTAGTGATACAATAAGAAGTCGAACTTAACGCCGATGGTAACCAGTCGGATAACTAGCTCGCCATTACCGTAAGAAAACCTCATTTTACCCCAAGCCGATTCCTCTTCAACAGTACATTGTATTTCCATATCCGTTCTTGTTAATTATTTAATTCAACAAATTTTTCATAACAGAAAGCTTCAACGTGATGAATTCAACTACGAATACAGGTTCTCTCTTCACATGAATTGTATGCACCGTCGATTACTCGCTTTCGCAACAACGACAGAATCGCGACGCAGTACTACGATGGTCTCATCCGACTGTATCATCCGACGCGACATCGGAGGAGAAGCGTCGTCGACGCTTTTCGTGACAAGAAAGGTACCGTAATGTTATCTATCTATGTGGTGATCATCGTTTAGGAATGTTTCATAGCAATATGCATCGAACGAGGTTATTCGAATACTTGTTTTCTTTTGGTATCATTTAGTGGATTATTGAGTATTCACAGGTACTTGTTTATTTTCCTGCATAGAAGTCAAAAGCTCTCGGCATTGATCAATCCCTGAGGGATGCGCTATGCATTCGACTTTATTAAGCATCGTTCGAGGTGATTGAATGTATATCTGGCCTTTACAGTGACTCGTGGTGACGTACCGATGTGTCGAGCCAGTGCTGCTATCCTCCCAGATAGGTTTGGTATGGATGGTGAGCCTGGGTGCGGGATCGAATCCATATGTACATTGCAGGGCGCCTTTAACCACTATGCTACATGCGCCCATACATGATCTTGATACGGATATTTTCCCGACCCCGGAGAGATGGAAGGCCTGGCGAGCCACGGGCCCGGAGATCGATCCCACGTGTGTGTCGCGGGGCGCGTCCGACCACTGCGCCATACGGACCCCAGTTTTTTCCGCATAGATAGGGTATTTCTATTATGCTGTGGTAACTGATGTTCAGGAGCTGTTGTTTTGTGGATCTTATGAAAATAACTTCCAAAGAAGAATTTTGATGCGGCTATATCAAACGATTTTTCTTTCTACCTGCGAACTGTTTTGATGAACTGACACGAAGTTGATTAAGACGTGATTTGGTTTTAGCAGCTAATCTTTCACGACTTCGTCTTCCTCACAGCCGGATATGATGCACAGCGGGGTTCATGTCCTTAACAAGGTCACCTTAGTTGAGGATGAGTTCGACCATGCGGCGACTCACTTAAGAGCGCATCTTTGCCAAGTCAGTACCACTAAAATTACTCGTGTTTTTCCTGTCACAAAAAAAAACCACTTGCCAAATGATGATCCTGTTCTTGTTCCTCGATTGAGTAAGCAGAGGCACCTGAGTAGTTCATAAGTCGGGAGAAGACGACGAATGAAGTTTGAAGGGGTGAATGAACAAGTACAGAGAAGCTAATGCTCATTCGAGTTACTCGATGATTGGTGAGATTAAAGCTGCTAGTGGTTCGCCTTCGTTTTGTGATGGAATATTTAATTTTTTATTTTACGTGACCGGTTAACACATCTACCATGCCTATCGTAGCAGTTCTAGTATTCGATTCGTTTTCCTCACATTCGTTGTCCACAATGGTTTTCGGAAATTTCGAGTGTTATTTCGGATGCAGCTTGAGGATTTCATCTTTATGAATGTTGCAGATTGCTAGGCGAGTCGATTCACCTTCCACTCTTGGAAATTGCCGAGATTAGGCGTTCACACATAGATTCTGGAAGAGCTTTGGGGGAAGTTAGGAATTCGAACCAGCACCTTGCTTCCTGATGGACTGCTTCCCACGCCACCTCGTTTAACTACACAAACCATAAAATTGACGACAAATTAACAGATACGCATGGGTTCGATGGTGCGTCTCAGGCTCACCTACCCTTTCGTTCCTCCAGGATCGGCAAATTATAAATTGGTCCCAGATTTGTCTGGGTGTATGGCAAAACTGATTCTGTACATTGATGGGTCACCACGAACCATTATATAGTCTATATCTCAGCATCATTGAAGTTATATTTCGGAGCATACTCTGCTATAAAAAAGAGTAGGCAGTAAATAAAACGGCTAAGATTGTGGTTATAACTAGAGCCTCAGCTTAACAGGGTTCATTGCCGTTTTGGGCTTCCCAGATCAATCCCGCTGGCGGGTGATTGCTGATGGCAAAAAGATCGATAGAACTAGTTGAGAGACAAGTGAAACGAAGGACCCGCATGGTGTGGTGGTGAACGCGTTGCTCTCTGGAAAGGACAATAGCGCGTTCGTTCCCCACCGCAAGCACCTACGGTCCAGAGTTTTGCAAATATCTCAGCATTATAGAAGATAATACATTTAAGGAGGGTTGAAATCCTTTCAGTAGCACATGGCGAACGTCGACGAGTATCGGCGGACGTGAAGAATGCGCTGGAGAACGACACTGATTGGTCTTTTGACGTGCTGTTGTTAGAGAAGGTCACCGAGCACCATGCCCTCAGTCAGATCGGTCTGAAGGTGGGGTCATCGGTTTTAAAAACTTCCGAAAAATTAGCTCACTGGATGTTAACTACTGCGTAGACTCTTATTCATAGTTGAGAATATGGTGAAATGGGTTTCGGGCAGTGAAACCTGGTAGTTCAAACAGCAACAACAGAGCAAGCTAAGGAACATCTGAATGAGACAAAAACTGTTCGTTTTAGATTTTCGAACGGTGGAAGGTAGCTGATTCGCTAGGATGCAACGAGGATATCTTGGAGCGATGGCTGTGCACTATCGAAGCCCACTACCACGCCGAAAACGCTTACCACAACGCCACTCATGCGGCCGATGTTCTTCAGGTACTGCTTTTAGAATTTTGTTGTTTTTGTAATACTAAATGAACAAATCAGTAAATCGTCCGTAGCCAAGAACACGTGTGCTTATCTGACTTGAGTTATTCTTACGACATTTCGATGAACTCTCCCCACAAGTAGGTGGATTAGAGTAATTTTCTGCAGGCAACGTCGTACTTTCTCGACTCACCTTCAGTCGCTGCGCATGTCTCGGAGAATCATGCCATTGCTGCACTTATTGCTGCTACCGTCCACGATCTCGATCATCCAGGTAGTTTTTTCATGGCAATTCACTTAGGTTGTCGCACAAGCATCATTATAAGTTGTTTTGATTGCAGGTCGGGGTAACGCGTTTCTTATCAACACGCGGCAGTCACTGGCCGTACTCTACAATGATCATTCTGTTCTAGAGAATCATCACGTGGCATTGGCTTTCCAGCTTACACTGCAACAGAATAGCAACGTACTTAGTTTCATACTTGTACACTTGGATGATCTGTCCTCACTGGTTGTGCGGACTAGCATAATTTCCATTTTTCGGAGTTTTGCTGGTTTAGTCACTGTGGTTTGCTGGAGTCTCAAGGTTAGCCCGGCCAAAGCCTGCCCCACGTCGTCACCACCACAGGTAGTCGCCGTCCTTGTGGATCAAACGGAGATTTACCACCATGCGACTGGTTTGATACCAGCACGGTGGTGGTTCCTGGTACTGGTTTACTCTTACTAGGCTTCCCGATGGAAACGCCGGACTCAGCTTGAGAGGCCTTACTGGTTGGATGAATCATCCGTCGTGCATCGCAGCCCGACACCCAAGAACATCTTCCGGCCACGATGTGTTGGTAAACCATCGGAAGGACTCAGCTTCATAGAATTCAAGAAATGGGCCATTTGGTTCAAAACTATCACCATGGCACACTTGGAGTCGATGGGGAATTCGCAGTGCATGTTTCTGAAGGTTTTGGATCCTTTTATGGACAGCGGTTGTTTTACTGCAATGGGAATCATACAGAAATTTTGTCTCGGATTGTTTGATTGTATTGGGGTGGGTGTACGTTATGAATGACCACAATTTTTCTCAGAACACTATTTCACATATTGCGAGAACTTTATTGAGCAGATTTTAAGGCCTGTTTGCAAATAGAATTTAGTGCTTAGTGAGTCTCATTCGCGATTAGGAAGCGGTTTCTACATTTCAGGTGAACATCTTCGGTAGTCTGTCTCGAGAGGAGTTCACTTCTATGCGGCATTCCATCGTCGAGATGGTACTAGCAACAGACATCAGCCGGCATTTCGAGTATCTTGTAAGGTTCAACAAGGTGAAAAGTTCTTTCATTAGCAACTGTTCCATTGTTTAATAACCGTATTCTTGAAGTTGAGATGTTTTCTAACAAATCCACCAAATAATCGTTCGTAGAAGCCTTCTTTTTTGCATTTCTTTCAGTCAGTCTTTTTACTCTAATAGTGCCATCAGTAATCACTCGTCAACGGTAACGATTTAGGGACCACAAATCAGTGTTCCCCACTGAACCCAGTTAAGCTGAGGCTGTAGTGAAAACCACAATGTATAACTTTTAAATGTTTTTTTAAAATTCCCTGCCTTCTATTATTTTTATAGCAGGGTATCAATCGAAATACAACCACAAGATTGCTGAGATATTTGCAAAACTCCGGACCGCAGGTGTCTGCGGTGGGGAACGAACACGCTATTGTCCTTTCCGGGGAGTAATGAGTGCACCACTACACTATGCGGGTCGTTCGTTTCGCCTGTCTCAGCTAGTTCTATCGATTCAGCTAGTTCTATCTTTTGTAGTTGCTAGTCGAAAATAGGCCTTCGAGTCAGTTCTCGGCACCGAGTAATCGCTAGCTTTTAGCAGAATGCTCGACTTCGTGAATAAATGCCACGCGGGAGTTTTCGTAGTAGCCACAAGGCAATACCTCAAACTTGGGTAATTAAACCTTTATATACATAAATGCAACAATAGTAACATGATAGTAACTATAGAGAAGTAATGGTAGAGGAATGAGACAAGTTAGAGCTCTGAGGTGCTAAGGCCTGTAGTGAAGTGAGGCTAACAATGAGGCAATGGCATTCAAACATTGTAATACCATTAACACAATATTAACAATAATAATGAGATTACAACGAAGTAGCCTTTGCTTAACCGTAAGCGATGCCGCGCCGCGCTGCGTCTATTCGCGGCCGGCGCGGCGGCTGAGGGAGACAGTATGCTGGGGGCGGAGGGAGGAGACTGTATGCCGCGGAGATGGAGACAGTATGCTGAGGTGGTGAGGGTTACAGACTCCGTGTTTCGGATGAGTGTTGGCGGTGCTATGGACAGTGAATGATGAGTCATCTACGGAACACAGTCAGGCGGCTGGTCGTGAATAACGCTATGTCAGCAACGTGAACTTTGAGCATCGATGGGTGCCACCATTGCCTAAGGGTAAGGGCCAGTATGATAAGTGGCTACAAAACTGATAAGCCTATAGCGGCTTAGCAGAATATATAGCATAAGTTGGCCGCTTAGCGGCATTGTACACATTGCGTGTACATTGTGGGAGGAATGGTACATGCCACCGATGGCGTTGCGAACAGAACGCATTTGGTAACACCCGCAACTACTGACATCGCACCGTAGACAAGCTGAGAAACAAGATACAATAATCTGCTGATTACTGAAGGATGAATGTGAGTGTGTGAATGAGTGTGATTGAATAAGAATGAATGACTATGACTAAGAATGAGTTGAGGTGATTAAGGATGATTGAGGATGTGGTTGTGAGGAGCGGATTAACCGCGCTACCGATCGGGGGTAAGGTGAGTGATGGCATGTCTCCGCCTTCGAAGGCACCTGGCTTATATCGGCAGCGGGAGCCGCGAGTGTATGCAACCGCGGTTAATCTGGATTGTTGATCCTGGACCGCAGTAGACTGTACCTAACTGCCTGAAACATCAAACGTCATTAGCTTCGTTGTTTCGCAAGCAAGTAGTAAACTGTTCTATGGTTACGCCTCCTTCGGATAAGCCATCGTTGGTATGCTACTGAAGTCAAACCTGAATCGCTATTGTGCCTGAAACGTTGAACATAATTGATCCTTAATACTGAAACATACAGTAGTAGAAAGATACAAATATATAGAAAAAAATAGAAACTATTCTGGGAATAGTTGCTATACTATCGATCTGTGCCGTCAACAATCACCTGTCAACGGGATTTATCTGAGGAGCACACATCGGCGTTGAACCCAGTTAAGCTGAGGCTGTAGTTGAATTTACAATGTTTACTTTTTTATTTTCTGCCTTCTATTATTTTTATGGCAGGGTATTAAGCGAAGTACAACCACGAGATTGCTGAGTTGTTTGCAAAACTCCGGACCGCAGGTGTCAGTTGATAGAACTAGCCGAGAGACAGGCGAAACGAAGGACCCACATGGTGTGGTGGTGAACGCGTTACTCCCCGGAAAGGACAATAGCGCGTTCGTTCCCCACCGCTGCTACCTGCGCTCCGGAGTTTTGCAAATATCTCAGCAGTCTTGTGGTTATGACTTTTTATTTACTGCCTAGTAATGGCGGGTTCGAATCTGAACTGGAATCTTAGTCTTGCGAAACCTCAACATCATTGTGGTTGTATTTCACATAGTTTTGGAGTAATTTGATTTGTTACCAAAACAACTACACCTCTCCGCACACTTACTATACTCGCCACTTTTCTTCAGATCTTACCTTTGCTCGAAATCTATACCTCCAAAGGATTGGAAAGAAATGTTTAAAATATTTTTTTATACGTTCTTGTGGACTGATCTTGTTGAGCTGATGCGAGGTTGGTATAAGTCTCCGTTGTTATTGTTGTTGTTGTCGTTGTCGTTGTTGTTAGTGTTGTTGGTCGATGGCTGACGTTTCGGCGATTTCGTCTTTCTGAGAACTTGGACATATTTTATACAAGAATGGTTTAATTATTTCGTATTCCAGGCATTTATTTCCATCCTTTTGAAGGTATAGATTTCGAGCAAAGGTAAAATTTGAAGATCATTGGTGCATACAGTAATTCTGTGGAAAAGTGTAGTCGTTTTAGTAAATAAAGAATAAAAGGATAAAGTTCTCGGCGTTGATCAATCCCTGAGAGATGCGCCATGCATTGGAATGCATATCTGGCCTTTACAATGACTCGCGGTGGCTTACCGATGTATCGAGCCAGTGCTGTTATCCTACCAGACAACTCTGGTACCAATTTTCTAATCCCGGAGAGATGGAAGGCATGGTGGGCCATGGCCGCGGGGATCAATTCCACGTGTGTTACAGGGCGCCTCCGACCACTGCTCTACACGCGCCCATCGTTTTAGTAATCAATCAAATTACTCCAAAATTATGTGAAATGCATCCACAATAATGTTGAGGTTTTTGCAGGACTCAGATACTAGTCCTGATTCGAGTGCGCGATTACTAGGCAGTTAATTAAAAGTTATACATTGTAATCGTTCATAATTTTATCCACTGGGGCTGCCTAGAATGCAGCAGTTGGCACATCTCTATTAGGGTGACCCATTCCACCATGTCTTCTGGCCTTGAATTCCAATCAGCAAGACGAAGAAATGCGCATTATAGGTTGAATATTAATATGGAGGTTTCTGAATGCTCTTTCAAGGAGCTTAAGTGTGACATCATTGCAGATGAACATCGTCGACGTACCCGATGAAGCGAGGGAGGGCAATTCTATGACTATCTGTAACATGTTAGTGAAATGTGCCGATATCTCGAACCCCACAAGGGAATGGTCTCTCTGTCAGAGATGGGCGTACCGAATCGTCGAGGAGTACTTCGATCAGGTTCCTTTCTGTTTTGTTGAAAACTTGGGATTTTATTTTTTTGATCCAAACTGAGTCTGCTGCTTCACTGAAATGAAGCATTCCAACAATAAAGTAAGAAACTTTGAAGAGAAACTTCGTTTATTTGTTCAAACGGTAACGATTTCATGAGGAGAGTCTTTGAAGAAATATCTCAATAAACTCCATTTTGAACGTCATCTTTTTTTTTTAAAGATCTCACGACCTTGTCGAGGGGTTTGGACTCATTTGAGTGATTCCAGACCCGGGAAGAACGCGAGAAGGGTCTTCCAATAACGATGGAGGTGTTCGATCGTTTGACTTGCAATGTTCCTCTCACTCAGTGTGGTTTTATTGGTACGTTGATGTAAGCTGGATATGATTTACACTATTCTATGGAGACGAAGCGTTCCACAGCTTAAACTGAGAGCACTTGGTCACGGAAATAATAAAAAATATCTCTTCAAATTCCAGAACAGAGGTGATCCGAAAGTTTGGCAGACATTGAACCTCCACTTTGACACGAATTACATTTACAACTTAGCCTTTTTATATATCTGTTGCCAAAGAATCTGGATTGATCTATTCGTCACATTGAATGCCACATGACGAACAACTATTATGTTTTTTCTCATTTAAGAATAGCGTGCAGCAGTATTCCCTGGAAATTGACGGCATTGGGATGAATGAAGACTGCGGGCGAGCACTTATGCATTCTACAGAGACTCCGCAGTTATGGGAGGACTTCTACGTTTCCTTGCCGGCTAATACTTTCGTAGTACCGCGGCGATTCGCTGAGCGTTTGAGCTGAATGTGGTGTTGCGGTAGAAAAGCATAGATGAAAAGATTAAGTGAAGAGAACGTCAAGCAAGAATGGATGAGCGACGACTGGATGCATATGAAAGCGAGGTGGAACCAAAACACTAAAAGTATCCAGCATCTTGTTGCATTCTTGTTTCAGTAATAAGATTTTTTGTTCGTGTTCCTTTACTGCTTGATGACATTTTATATGAGGTCAGATTATATGATATCAGATTTCCTAGTGGAAATTAGAAGATTAAACGACCACATGCCTACTGTAACTTGTTCACTCTTATGCAGAGGATGAGATAAATATTTTCAAGAGCAAAGAAGAAATCTTGGTTATTACGAGTTTTTAATCTCTGAACATTAAACCCATTTCCATATATCTAAAATTAACGTTTCCTAAATTAGTGTAATCTCACCTCCCAACGGTTTACCGCCTCAGCGTGGCTCGGAGGTGTTCCTGGTTGTCGGACTGCGATGTACAGCGGGGGATTCATCCCCTGGCAAGGTCTCCCAAGTTGAGGAGTCCGGCGTTTCCATCAGGAAGCCTAGCTAAGAGTAAACCAATACCAGGATCCATCGCCGTCCTGGTGTCAAAGTCGCATGATGACAAATCTCTTGCTCATCCACAATGGCTGCAACTGTTTGTGATGGTGAAGACCTGGGCAAACTTTGGCCAGGCTGACCTCGCGATTCCAAAGAACCACAATGGCTTAACCAACAAATCTCCGAAAAATGGAAATTATGCCGGGGTCCGCACAGCCAGTAAAGACGGACCATTCAAGTATCAAGAATCAAGTAAGTTTGAGCTCAAGCAACATGAGTTGAGAACAAAGAATTGCGAGTAAAAGCCAAGTAAAGGTGTTAACATGTATCGTTCACTGTAGTGTTGTTCGAAATGTTAAGAATCCACTGGAAGGTTTATACAGTTACGCTGAGTTGCTCTGGTGTTTTCTTTCAGAATCTTGCATCATTTAAGTGTATAACTGTTTATATGAAAAATAAACATTTTTGGTGTTTGAATTGGGATCGCCCGTTTCGTGAATAAGAGTGAATTTTTGTGGTTTTTTGTTCTTGCCTAAGGCGTTTTTGCCAGCTTAATCTTTGATTTTTATCAGACATGTTCGCCCGTGAAGCGTTCGCCAACTTTGCTGAGTTCGCAAATATGGCCCATCTCTGCACTCAACTGGAGAGTAACTACGACCAGTGGAAAAGTTTGTCGACGTCCTGGATGCCTGCAAACAATCTGTCCCTGCATCGTTGACGGTTGGATCAGATTGTGGAAGAACTCTGGCCAGCTCGTTGTTCAGTCGTCCATTCCTACTGTTCACCAAGCACGTGGCTAATTTCGGAACACTGCCTAACCGTACACTGGCTCACTATCCCTATCTTTCATCTGGGAAAATGTGACTTAAACTTTGTATCCTACATCCTACTCTTTCCTCATCCTATCGTCTAGGTCTTCTAGTGGGTCACGAATCATCACTTTGATCCTTTCTGTCCGACAAATTCTGTTTTTTCTGTTTTGTTTTTATTCTGGTTGTTTGTATAGCTGTATTCATCACTGTGTCCTTTTAGCTTAATTGTCTTTACGTGATAGCTTTTCCTTTCTTGACGCAATACTCAGCGCTTTTTCCTCTCTGGCTTTATCATACTTCTCCAGTTTTATTCTAGTCGTCAGTCTTCATGTGCAAGTTCTCTGCCACTGCCCCTGCTTTATTTCGTTTACATGTCTAGTCCATTCACGACTTTAACCCCGTTCTTTGCCTGGCAACAAGCTGCAAAAGTCTTGCCAGTGACACGTTACTGTTTTAAACTCATGAAAAGTTTTACTCTTTAATGATCTTTTCCTTTTGACCATATATTTGTGCTATGTGCAATGTTTTTTCGTGTGTTTGTACTGTATCCGAATGTCGGAGACGTCGGTGTCGTGATTGGTGTGACTCGGCTGTGCGTGCCGACGCCGGATCCGCCCACAGAGTCGGCTCGGCTCGGTGTGCGCACGAGCTACACTGCGAGCTATCCTCAGTTTTGCTCACTAGTCACGTTATCAATCATGTTTCTTGCCATTTATATCACGAGAGATTTTCTTTTTTGAAGTCTCTTTTCAGATTCTCGGTGGATTTTTATTTATTTATTTATGTGCGTGTGATTTAAGTGCGCTGTTGATAAACACTTCGCACCGTCATTTGTATAATCGAAACCCTACTCAGTATTGGTTTTGTATGTTTAAGATGTTTATTATGGATTTTTGCTAAGTCGGAAATGAAATTGAATGATTATCTGTTTGAAGATTTCTAAAGTCCAAGACGTCCTGACATGGAAAATGGTCTGCCTGTGGATGTTGACAGCGAGTCCTGTGTGGTACTTCCCTCAGTAATTCCAAGTGATAAGGTTTAAGAAAGGAATGAATAGTGAAAATAAAGAGGAAGCAAAGAGAACAGGATGAAAGCATGTTAAGAAAGGTTATTCAACGCAAACATTGCGATCTGTGCTCATTGAAGGTGATTTTCGTTAAGAGGTCCACTTTTTGCCCTATTCCAGTCCGATCTGTGGCAAGGTCCAATGGTGTCACAACTTCAACTTCTTTTTATGCGGGTTTCGTCTGTCTTCTTTTCTCTCTGGAAATTTTTTAGTTGTACCTTGTCACTGAGCTGACTCCCAATCCATGTGATCAGCTGGAAGGATGGAGCTGGGGTTACTGGCGCTTGTCGAGATCTGCTCAGCATCATGCTGATCCATCTTCTCAATGAGCTACTCACTGCCAAAACTTTGCTGTGTACTATGAGTTTACCTGAGAGTTTTTCCCATCATCATGAAGGATCGTTTGTAAAATATGGCCATCGAATATCTATGGGTATCTGGTCTTTTTTTTGTCGATACGCGCATTTTTTAACTGCTTTCTACTTCATCTGCTTTAATACTCTATTTTTTCAATTACCAATGAATGCTGAATGTGTAAAGCTGGAAAATAAGTTCTCTGAAAAAATTTAGAAACCTCTTAGGGAAAAATAAATGCTTAAAGATATAATATGGACTCCTGATATGTAATGCTTGACCCATCTTCGCAAAGAAATACGCGGAACATACTGTATTTGTGTTTCTTCTCTGAGGACCTTTCTCTGGACTCCTAAGAAAGGCACGCCAAGCTAGCCATTCTCTCAGCTTGGCACCACAGATAGCCGCCAGGAATAGATTTCCACCAGGTCCGCAGCACTTCCCGATGTACTAAAACTTTCATGTTGACTTCTAGATGGAAACGGCGAACACCTGGTCTGCTTTGATAATCCTTACAGTGACAATTAATGTCGGACTCGACGTCGACATCCCGCAGATTCTCATTTCTACTACTTACAGGTAATTTATTGATGTGGCAATGATTTGAAAACGTAAAGAACTCCCTTAAGAGCGTTAACAATAACAATAATTAATGGTAGAGACGATAGTATTAACAATAAGTAAGTGGTGCGCATAAAGCAGTGGTCAGAGTTGTCCTGCAAAACACACGCTGTCGTTGGTTGGATCCCGTGCTCCAGGCTCACCAAGCCTTCCATCCCTCCGGGGTCGGTGGACTGGAACCCGAATTATCTTTGAGAATAGCAGCACTGACTTCGTACATCGGTGGTTCACCGGTGGTCATTATATGAGTCAGACATACATTAAATCACTCTGCGGTGCTTTGTGAATTCGGATGCGTGGCAGGGATTAATCAACGTTGAGCGCTTAATTATTTCATCCTTCATTAGTAAGCACAATAATGCAACAACATTATATAAAAGCCAGATATGTGTGACCTTGTCATCAATGGGGTAGGAATGGTACCACTCCGTTTAATTGTCCATTCTTTTCTCTTACAGTAACTACATCCTACAATCAACTTCCTTTCCGTCTTAGTGTTATGGAAGATTTCTATTCGACTGACAAAGGCAGTCTGCTGACCTATTCTAGTGGCACTGTCACTCTGATTTTTCCCGATTTCCTGAAATTCATCTGAAAGCTAGATGTTGTACCACGCGGACTGCTGTGTTTCGTACTGTATTTCGATTGAAAAGGTAGCAAATAAGCTCTCCTTTATATTTACTTTCTGTAATAAATGGACGCAGATTATGTTGTGACGGTGAAATTTATAGTTCAGACTACACTTCAGGTTTCCAAACGAAAATATCCTTCAACAAGCCACTTTATAAAATTCTTCATTGGATCTTCTTTACTGGTTCATTTTCTCGCTGATGCCTATTGGTCATCCTTCACTCCTGAGATATTTAACTCCCAAATTTTCAGGTTTCCGTTTATGAACTGAAAATAGTCTCCTGAACGGATTGTTCGTAGTGCACAGAGTTTGTCTGCACGTAGATGGTGAAAGTACATGCTCAATTTGACGTTGGTGATTTTTAGATAGCGTTAGCTTCCACAGTCTATTAGGATAGTGGAATAAAAAACTAAGCGGATATTTCGTGAATTGCAATGTTGTTTTCTCAAGCACGATTACTGGCGAGTAGTTAATCGTCAGCTCATTGAAACATTAGGAATTGATTTCTTATTGACATCTGAGAGGCAGGCGAAACGAAGGACCCGTATGGTGTGGTGGTGAACGCGTTAGCCCCCGAAAGGGTAATAGCGCGTTCGTTCCCCACTACAAACATCTGAGGTCTTAAGTTTTGCAAATATCTCAGCATCATTGCGGTTGTAATAGGAATTGAAGTGGTACAACTTCCGTGGCAAACCTTAACCTATCGTTGAGTGCTACCTTCAAATACGCCCACGCATGCACAGCAATATCCCGTCTGCCAAGGAACAAGGAACAAGGACCAAGGCTTTTACCGCTATAGAGCCCTTTCGTTCGGTTGTTTCAAATCTGTTTGATGGCCGCTATTGGTTTCTCACTGCCCTTCCTTTCAGGGAAGAAGGCCATTCTCCATGTTTTTCACCACAGGTTTTTCTTGGAGTGGGAAGTGGAACTGGGCGGTTTAGTGTAACATTACCGCTAACGATATGCTGCAATAAAGTGTCATCAGAGCAAATGAAAGAACACGGCGGAAACTGTCATACAGCGTACACGATCCTGAGAGGTGTTGTTCATCTTCGATGTCGGCGAGACCACTGGAGTTGGCGAAATCGTTCTACCTAGTCACCCGATCCTTCACCATTCCTTGCATCAGATGACTTCGGGTTTGAAAACATGAGGACCAATCCATCTCCTGACTTGCCTTCAGCCAAATTTAATTACTCGGCAAGAACGAAGATGAAGGATAAAGAAGAAGCTTTCGGGGCTGATCAATGAGGGATGCGCCATACTTTCGACTTCACTATGTATCGTTAGAAGTGGCTGAGTGCATATCTGGCCTTTACAATGACTCGCGGTGGCTTACCAATGCAACGAGTCTGCTGCCCTCCCAGACAAGTCTGGTACCAATTTGCCGACCCATATACCCGGAGGTATGGAAAGCTTGGTGAGCCTTGGGCGCGGACTGCGCCACACCCGTCCTAAGAACGAAGATAGAAGTGATAATTCCATAGGGAACAGCAACGCCTTCGTAAACTGTAATCTTTCTGATAACCACAATTGCAAGGTAGGCGGTAAAAATTTTTAAAATCTTTCCTCGTCATTTGCCGTAGCGCGTAATCAGACCACGACTAGTCACATCGGTTATGAATACGAAATATTTGCACATTTAACACTCCCACTAGCGAAAGCAAAGAGCTCAGTGGTGCAAAGATAACGAAGCCCTTCGATGAAGGTATGCTGAGAGAATGATGCCACAACGGGAAATGGTTTATGTCATCAACAGCTACATTTAACGATCAAGTCCATGAAGTTGGGCAAGGACGAGAAACTCCAGTGCGTACAAAAATCTTTAAGATGTTCCATTAAAAAATGTCGTGTTTATGGCATTTACTTGATCAAAGTAGCCCATCCGCCTCTCTAAGAAGTCGTCCACTTTGCTGTCTAGTTGAGAAACATCCATGTATGAGTGCTTCTCGACGAGCTGCCAGGATGGTCATCAAACGGATAGTGTCGCACATGCAATTTTGTTTTAGTAACTCTAACATTTTTCTGCCTCTCTGAAGAAGTGTAAAGTTTCTGGTTCCGATAGGATTAGACCTGAACGCAATAAGCAGTCGCTATTGCAGTCAAGCCGCCTAAGAATCCATTCACGCGACACTTAGTAATTATCCAGCAGCGTGCCTGCTATCCGAAGCCTTTAAGTCGCTTGCTTCTGATACCAATAACTGGCTTGGTTTTTTGAAGGACAAAAAAGGCCATACCAGCAAACGAATTGGACTTTGAAAGGGATTCTTTCTCAGCAAAATGGATCAGACATGCTAAGTCATGGCTTGCTGGAGTGTATCATTAGCCCATCAATGCTGTTATGCATTTTTCTGCCCGAAAAATTAATTACGGTAGATAGAGGAAACCCCGGCTTTCGACGCTAGTAATAATCACGAAGTTCCCACTCATTAAAGAGGTAATGAGATGTAGAGAAAGCTTAGTAAGTTCGGTAAATTAATGCTGCTTTTTCACCATATTCATTTTGCTGAGAACAAAATTTTGATCACGTCGAACATCAGATAAGGTTTACGCTTTCTAGCTGGCTTCGTCGCGCATCTGGAAAGCAGGATCGGGCAAAAGCAGTTTTCCTAAGCGATGACCTCCTACTGTGCTATTCAACCTGAATAGTCGAAGCGTCGTAAATCCTTATACTATCCCTTCTTTGGTCATCACGTCGACATGATCAGCCACTAATGACCATATATCCGATGGTGAAAAGTGTTAAAGCGACGTCACATTTTCACATGTGGGACAAATATGTGTACGTCGTTAATTTTGGATCGGAATATTCACATGAGAACTCAATCAGTACAGCACCCACATTCCTTAATTTATTGAGGATCGATGATCTAGCAAAATGGTGCGCAGGTTAGACTTCCGAATGCCTGTTTATGTGTTATGCAATTAGCAGTGGTCCAAGCTTCGTCATCGAGAAAATGAAACGCGGAATATACGGAAAATTCCACCTGAATCCTTCAATCATTCCTAAAGGACCACAATACTGTCAATGCCTACTTTTATTTAATCCTACAAAACCTGTCTAGAGCTTCAGGTTTCGTACCGAAGGAAATTGTCATGGACAAAGGATAAAAGGCCAATTTATTGATGACTGAAGGCAATAATCCCATCCGCTCTTCTTTGCTTCTCTGGCACTATAGCAGTTGCAGGATACTGGAAAAGAAAACTTGGGATGTACTGGAGTTTCGCAACCAAACTTTCAATAAATGATGTTAAAAATTTTCCAAATAAAGTATTCCAACTGTGCAAATTACACCTTTCAAGGTTAGTTTGCGATTATGGGTATAAAAATGTAACGAGCAACCAGGATTCACCTCCTAGCAAGATCTCTAGGATGAGAACGAGTTCGACATTTTCATTCGGAAACCCACTTAAGAGTGAGCCAGTGGCTGGAATCAGTACCAATCTGTGAACTGGTATTGTTGTGAACAAGTGAAGAAGACGTGGGAAAGCTTCAAAAAGGGTTGCGTGAGTTTTGTGAAAGAACCGGCTAGTCGTCTAGCCAGCAAGTTAAGCCAATGGAAGGGACCTACATAGTTCACCGTGCCTTGCATGGAGGAGCTACTGACGTGTTTGAGTACGTGATTGATTTATAAATAATAAATAAGAATATTGCGACAACGAGATTGAGTTTAGAAAATATTTACTAATGCCATATGCATCGTAGTGGTTAGAGGTGTCTTTGAGCACACACGTGATTATTGGCTCGACCTCTGATCTCGGGAAAACCGAGCCCTCCATCTCTGCAGGGCTGGAATATGGTATTAAATTTGCCAGAGAGAACAAAATCACTGGCTTCATACATCGATAGATTAGGCGAATCCATTGTATAAACCAAACATACTTTCGAATTTTGGGGTTCTTTCCCAATTTTGGCGAATTCCTATGGCATTGATCGATGCCAAGTGCTCTGTGTTTATACGTCGTTTTACTTTCCTTTTACTTTATGGCCTCTCCATCTAATAGAAACTATCGCTTGAATATTTTTTTGAAGTAAACAAAGCTTCAAAAGTTTCCAAGAGCGGCTTTCTATTAAGCTGGGCACTGATTGGTAATTCACTGTTTTCTTCAGTGAGCAAACGCAAAGTTGGTATTACAGAGTTTATTAGCAAAGAATAGCTGACGTTTCGGCGACTGTAAAAGTTTATTGGGAAAGGAGTTTCAGACTGAAGTCGTCGACTCTTCCAGTTCCGATTAACGGTGCTTGAGTGGTTGCCGCTCGTCAGTTTCTTGTCTGTCACGTTTTGGTTGTTCGTTCGCTAAGGCGGCCGTCGTCGCCGTTCGTGCAACCGGGAATCCGACTAGAGGAGTAAGCCAAAAAAGATGAGGCCATAGAGGCTTTTCACGTTTTAAACCCAGATGTCGACAGACAACTATTCATACAACGAATGAGAGATAGAATTTTTTTCTTCAGGGAGATTTATGCTTCAGGAAAACAATCCAAGAAAAAATTGAAAGCTGCACCTGGTCCGGCAGTGTCGAGGGAGAATTGGACAATAAATCGTGAGGATGTATTGCTAACTTTGTCATAATTGAAAAATTTTCTACCAGACTGACTAGGTTTGGAAAAGTTTTTCACTAATTTCTAAATATATCGGTTGTATTTAATGCTGCGAGTCGACATAATCCGATCCGATCGCCCACGAACTAAGCACGAAAGCTTCGTGTTTCTTCGCTTGGCCGTCGCATAAACAACATTGTTACGATAGGCTTAGAAGTGGGAGATTAAACCACCTAAAAAGCTCACCCAGCGTTAAATTGAGGTTTTCGAACTACGGATCTTGTTCGAATTCCAATTATTATCTCGTGTGAACAACGGTGTAAGGGTCGGTCTCACTTTCTGAAGACGTACACAACGGAAAAACGGCTCTGGAAAAAGTAGAGTGGCGAAATATTGGAGTGATCGTACGCGAAAAAGGCGCATCATATCAGCTCTGAAATTCATCACTCATCGCTAAAATTCCTTTGTAGGAAAAGATCACATTATTTCGATTTTATGAGATTTGCAAAAAAAGTCTCCAACTGAAATGTCATGTAACGCATTCCTAACTCCCTTTTTTCGGTCTAATTTAGGGTTTTTTCCCATTCTGAGGAATAACTTGCTTTTTCTAAAAGAACAGAAACCATGCGTTTGACCAAAATCTTCAGAAAATCGGCTAAATGTCTTAAAATATTTACTGTCTGATCAAAAGAAAAGCTCAAACTTTAAGCTGTTCGGTTAAGGTGGTCTGTGATCACCGCCGCCGACACAGTAATTGATAGAGGCAGCGAGTTATGGAAACTGTCAGTAGTGTCTAATTCTATAAACCAATAATGTCTGAAATAATTGCCACAAATGGCTCCCATAAGAGAAGCCGACTCGCCCTCCTCTACAATCCCACAAGTGCATTAGAGAGAAAAAGAAGAGCCACTCCAGTCGTCCTTGAGATCAATCTTGTTGTTGAATATGTGCTGCACAATCAAAAGGAGCGAAATAGGCTGCCCATAACCCAACTTCTTTCATCCTGATGATCAGCGTACTCTAATCCAGAATCGACCAACCATGGTTTACACTAATTTAGCCCATTCACACTCTTACTGACAGGTTTCAGCGTTCTTTCCATGCAGATGCCAGACGGGAGTTGTTAGTCGGCTACGAACAGCACATTTACAGGACTGTTGTTCTCTCAAAGCTCTGCAGTAGTGAACTTTCGAAACTATTCATTGTTAAATTTCCACATGTGTAGAATTTCGAACTTGTTCATGTTCGAGAGTGAACGAATCTAAATCGTTAAGAAATGATCCCTACACCTGTGACCGGTTAACTGCTTTGTGCGCTAAACAGCTACCTTCGAACAACTTTCTTTATAGTTTTCGCTTTTGACCGTGATTTCGATGAGTGTAGTAGATTTGTGCACACAGCAAGAAATATAGAAATAACGAGGTCCTCACATCCAAATTCCGACTAGCATACGCAGCATTTCTACAATCCAGCTTTGTAAGATCTTCACAAGAATCCTTGGAAAACGAATTCAATCGATTTTTTCACTACGACTCCTTAATCGAGAGTCTTTATATGTATCTACCTGTTTCTTCCTTTTCCTACGGTTCAGTTTTCTCAAACAAGAGATTTCTTCGCTCTTTGACCATCACATTTAAGGTAGAAATGGGAACCTATGACAAAAACCTGAAAAAGTAATAGCTCAGGGTTAAGCACTGTCATGTCACGGAGCTACGAATCTTCGAAGATTCTGCTACCAATTTGGTGGTCCCAAGGGATTGTGATCTTGGTCGGTCTAGTGCGGAGTCTTACCAGAGACAATGTTTGCATTACATGATATCTCTAGTCACTGCACTCACGGCATCTTCTTATAGCTGAATCGGTTCTCTTAAAATAATCAAAGCATTTAAATAGCGCAGATGTATAGGGCTGAGTGAAGTTGTCACCCTTTCAGTTGTACTGGTGGCGGATCCTAACCATTTAGATAATATATATAAAAGCCATTTATTCCTCAAAAAACGATTATATACAGACAGAATAGCTATTCTATATTACTTTCCCGCCCCATAAGCACCAGGAACTGGGTATGCTGCTGGTGGTGGCGGTGGTGGTGGTGGTGGTGGCGGCGGTGGTGGTAGTGGTGGTGGAGGCTGATAGCTAGGAGCAGGAGCTGGGTACCTGAAATCAACAATGCGATTTCATGGAGCTTTGCAAAAAAGAGTGCTTAGAACGTCAGTGAGATTTGCAGATCTGCTCACCAAAAGTGGAACCAGTTCAAATTTCTATCATAGTGCAAAACTAACTATCGTAAATAGTACATTCACTCACAATGGCCCTGCACAAACTGGTGGCGGCACACATGATGGTGGTGGCGGTGGTGGTGGTGGTGGTGGTGGTGGCGGTGGAAGAGGTGGTGGAGGTACAGGACAGCAGGGGGGTGGACCACCAAGACCAGGAAGACAGGCTAACGACGGTGCAATAAGAAGAACTAGCACCAGAAAAGTGCGCTGCAAAAAAGAACTACGTCTTAAGGGCCACTCAGTCATTATTATTAAAATATCACTTCTTTTCAAACAACAGCATGATTTTTGATAGTTTCAAATTCTCTCAAATAGATTAGGTAATTAGTGGCTTAAAAGTAGAGACCTGAGATCTCTCCACCGATTCCAGACGCTTTTGAGAATCTGACTAACAAGCGTTAGAAAACACCTCTCTAACTGGAGTTTGAGTATCACTACGATCATCTCAGAAAAAGGATGGCGCTTTATCATCTTGTAACTTGCATAACTTATCGTTTACGGTTACGGTGCTATGTCATAACAACGTTCTTTGCTTGTTAGTATAGTGGATGGCTCTCATTGCTAAGTTCCTTGATCAGCTTTTGAAGTGATGATGGATCCAATGAAACTGCAATGACGAGTTTTCTAAGGCTGCACTCCTGCGCTATGTAGGTATTTAAAATTTTAAGACCATAGGATTCCACAGACTCACAAAAAGACCAAACATACTAGAATATTTAATGGGCTGAATAGAAGCTCACAGCGGGAATAAGGTGCTCAGTTGTGCTTTAATTAACAAAGAATCATGAACATGAGCCGAAATGAAAACTGTAAGAGACCTCACCATGGCGTGTAGGAGAGAACGTAGCAGATCAGTGTGGCACTCACCGAGTCGACCTGATCGACTTTTAAAGGGCCTGCGTGTCTGGCCACGCCTACCGGCGGCGACATCTAGGCCTAGAGTTTTTGTGCGCCGGTCCACCATATAATGGCACACCCACGGTCAACGTATGACTGCACCACCATCGTAGGCTGCGTAACCCATCAGCAAGCATAACGAGTACTCCTGCTGGTTGTCACAACTGATGTCGTAAACGCTCGGCACTTAGGAGTCTTAAAGAAGGAATTCTGAAGGCGTTACATGCTGAAAACATATAAGAAACGGGTCACTCCAGAGGGAGAACTAGGAAAAGCTCTAATTTCACTTGTACGGGAAAATCTCTTATGAGATCGACATTCTGAGCAATCACGATTGAATTGCGCCGTTCTACTACGAAATAAAGCAAAAATACAGCAGATCGTTGAAAAAGTTATGAAAAGTGCTACTTTGAAAATAGAGTACGTGAGTGGGATTCTTAAAAGAAACAACAGAAATGTTCACTGATTTGTTAGTTACAGTATGGTTCTTCTAGTGTACGTATTTAAACGGTTCTGTGGACTTCAAGGCAATCAGGTTTCAGCCATTTCAGTATCAAAATGAGGTAGATGAGTTCCTGACAAGAACATCAATGACTATGATAGAACCTGATGGCGACACAGAGCTGATGTAGAAGGGAATGCTCGAAAGTGGCAAAGTATGGTGAACGAATACCTATTCAGTGCTGAACAGTTAACTTCTTCTCTTACCTATTTCAGATTGGTTGCGTATCCTTGTTCATTACCAAATGTTCATAGGAATTGATTGGTCAAAAAAAAAACGGAGAGAACTTGATTTCTATTGATTCTTCAGAAATAACGCGCGCTCATACGGAAGGGACTGTTGCCACTCTACTAGTAGATAAAGCAAAAATACAGTAGATCATTAGAAGAGCTATGAAAAATGCTACTTTAAAAAGGAGCACATGAATGAGATTTTTAAATGGAACAACGAGAATGTTCACTGATTTGTCAGTTACAGTGTGGTTCTTCTAGTGTGGCAATTGTCTGGAACCCTTCTCGCGAACGAATTCCATTCTCTCGACTTGTTGGCATCCGATGCCGGCATTGAGAACGAAATCCTTGTAAAATAAGTGTTTTGATGTTTCAGTAAAAGGAAAGATAACTCCTACTTATCGTGATTTAATCTAGAACCGTAACGATACACCGAACGAGTGATGTAATCCGAGGCACCGATGAAAAGTTTGTACTCAGAACTGAAGGAACGAATTCGTTCACATCAACGATTTATGAAAGGGGAACATTCTTAGCCACTTGTAAGTAACAATCTCGTGATACGATTGTCCCTACCATTTCTCAATCACCTCGCCTTTCCTTGAAAGCATTTTCTTCATCGTTATTTTCAGTTCCAAAATCGCGCGTTTTGTGATATTCTGCGAAAATATCTGGTCCAGAAGCAGCTACGATCAGGAGGTTCAGAAAAATATGTTGTTGACGGAGTCGTGGGCAGTGGGTCGTGGGTAGCACTATGGGTAGTGGTCGTGATTTTTTTCATGTGGATGCCTTACGTGTTTCGGTAGTTAACCTTGATGTATAAGGAAAGAACATTGACAAGAGATATCAATACCAAACAGTCACTCAATGGCAGCTATTCCTCGTGATGCGTGCACTGCTTAAGGCTCAAACTTGAACCCGTCTCAGCGCAACCAAGCGGATGACGAGACGAACCGCTTCTGGAGTATACCGGACCGTGTGCACTCATCTGGGCGTTGCCGCGGCGACATTCCGATCATCGCACGCGATGTGACTACTTGACTGAAGCAACTACGGTACAACACGCGGATAATGGCGAATCGTCACGAAATCATGTCAGCTATTATGTCCGGGCATGCCTATTCGTCTGTAATTAATATTCCGCCACTTTTTTTGCCTTTTAGTTATTATTATGTGACAAATGAAAAAAGTGCTCCATTGTTGCCTTAAATTACGTAGCACTTACTACTTCTCCTGAGCGTGTGTAGCGCAGTGGTTAGAGGTGCTGTGCAATAGAGATGAAGTGATTAGCTTGACTCGGTGTTCCGGACTGTTTAAGACTGTCCATTCATCCGGTGTGGACAAATTCGTGCTGAACTTTTCTGTGAGGATGGGAGTTCTGTATACGATCCTTAATAGAGTGGAATGTATGGAGTGCCAACATCACATGCTTTATTCTTTGCCATTTAATGATGAGTCTTTATTACGAGCAATCATTACTTCGCTTAATGATTTAATGTCTCATTGATTCAGTAAATGCAATGTCTCATTGATAGGGTTGCACAAGGCTGTTACAAAAGTTTATTCGACTAGGGTTTTAACGCATGTACCTTCTTCAGAGCCGTAATGGTTCGAGTCTGTCTTCCAAAGCCGTTTATGCGTGTTATGTAGGTCCTTGTTTTGTGTCAACCTCATTCTAGCCCATCAGTTAAACTAGCACTGATTATTTTTCTTAAAGTGAAATGAAGTTAGCAAAGTGACCAGAATGAAGTTGATCGACGTCGACTTAAGTCGGAAAGAAGCTAGGAAGCTGTTGGCTGCCAGCAACAATAACTTACGGTCTACCTATACTTGGCGACTTCGAGCTGTTTTTTCAATAAATCGGCTACAAATGATGTGTAGACATTCAGCACCACTTACAAAGTACTTTTTTTTCTGTGCGCGTGCTGGCCATGATAATTTAAGACTAACTACTCCATAGAAAGGGCCGGTTTTCGTTTGCGAGCACCAACCGGCTACGCTAGACATGCGCTTTTTTGAAGGCTATTTAGAGCGCGAACATTTTCATGCTAGGCGATTACTATTCGTAGCAAATTCTTATGCTTAGATAGATGCCTGCTTAACACCACACTGTTCACAGCTTCATGACTTCTCAAGAAAAACGTTCAAAAACGCTCTCAATTTCGACGGACTGCTCTTGACGGAGGAATATGTTCGACTAATTCCGACTACTTTATCAGCTTGATTGCAGGAATGCGCGAACTGTCAAGTTTAAAAGATGTCGACCACTGGACTCGTTTTTAACCAAGACATCGCTGGAATTTAAGCAGACATAGTGATGTGAATCTAATACGATTTGCCAGTAGCTCCACCTCTGACAGCGTTAGCTTAAAGACTGGTTGTGATTTCCTTCTGGAGTATTGTTTAGATGATAGAAATTGTTAGTAGAACATTGGTCATTAATGAAGAATCATCTGGGCTCTTGTTTACTCAGTTAGGTTAGTAACTGCTAGATGTACTGTAATGTGTTTTTTTTATAGAAGTAAATGTATGCTGTCCAACAACCTCGCGATTGCTGAACAAGAAAACGACGCATTCATATTCAATGCCGAGGTTAATAAAAAGTCGATTCTGGGAACTGTAACTTTATACATTTTTAATCCGAGCCATGGTGAAACTGTTCATCTTAAGGCAACAATAAATGCTAGCAGTGAGGATGTATTAAAACAGATAGACTCGGAAAGTTGTAAGGATGACCTTGGGAGCAAGTAGTTCATAGCGCTGAACAGTACGGAAACTCTACATGCCTACGACGAAACCGTTGCAATTTTCTTCAGTGAATTTGACAGAAAGCGTTCTGTGACCGTTCAAACGTGAGACATGACATTATTGTAACTGATAACCTGAAAAGTGATGGCGGTCACGGTATCAATTAAAGTTATGGAGGGAATATACCTCACTGTTCATATACTCTTAATAATATTTGCAAGGTATAGAATACGAATTTACCCGGTGACGACGTGGAGTAAAGTCCAGTGTAACATTCTGGGCAAAGTCAGCAATCAGTCGACTTTCTCTAGAAGTTGTTGTTCTGGTGGAATGAGAAGTGAAAGTGAGGGATTGGGAAAGACACTTCACGCATGGTGTGAGCCGAACAGAACGTATCCCAATATCTATTACAGTAGTATGAGGTCTACGTTATTTCGTACCTGCATCGACGCAGAAGCTCATGACGGGATTCGGGGCACCAGAAGACGGTATCGGACGAATCCATCACAGTCTATTCCTAATAGTAATCTTCACGAAGTAGAAAAAACGCGGCAAATTCTGCCTTTTCCATTTGAGCTACACAAAATCCTCCATAGTATTCCGTCCTTTATGGAAAAGTCAACTGGGCTATTTCCGAGCGTTTCATTTGTTTGGTTGATCCTATTTGATGTTTCTCAACCTTATGCGAAAAAATTGAAACTTGTCGATCTTGGACTGCAGCGAACTGGTTTTGCCGGTCTTCTCATAAAAGACATGTTAGTCATAAGCGGTCATTAAGGTGCAATAGCCTTTATTTTCTGTGAACCAAATAATAGCACACTTTAAGAAATACAGTTTTCAAGACCACAACGACATTTTTCTTTTTCTTCTTCATCTCGAAAACAAACAAAAACAACAATTAGGAATATCTTTCACTTTTTTCTACTCAGCGCTTAGCAGAATGAACGTGTCGCTTTTAATTGAAATGCATTCTACTTCATGTTTGAAATAAAAATTGCTTTTTACGGGATAACGCTGCACTTTTCAGATTACTGTAATGATGACACAGTTGCTCTTTGAAATTCTATCCCTTGTGAGTGAATCAATAAAGGCGTTACCCAATCGAAGCAGCCGGACTAAATGGCTCTTTTATTGTGTGCATCGGTGGCGAACTCAGTTCACGCATTTCCACGGGATACTTGAGTAGGTCTCGTCTAGAGAGTTGAAAAACGATTTCACAACGAAAGAGGAATAGGAGGTATGAAACCAGTCAAACCTCTTGAAGCGCACGGCCGTAACCATAAGGAGATCATCAGGCTTCACAGCGTTCTCTCATCGTTAGGTCGTTCTTTTTGGAAGTATTACAGGACGAATGAACGTCACACCACAATACGGAGAAAGGAAGTACGGTTACTATGGCGTGACACTTTTAGCCGGACAACCAGACAAGATCCAATTGCCGTTCATGTGCATGTGTCCGGGTTTGTCGTCCATAACTGGGAGACCTCTTGCGCGCGCCAGTAGCAAGTGACGCAATAATGTGGCTTAGGATCGCATTTAGGCCATAATACGTT